GTGTCCCTCCAGGTGTGACCTGAGCCTGGCTTTGTGTGGACTTTAAGTGGTTTCTGCATATTTATTTAAACACTCTCTTCCGACCTTTCCAGAACCTTCTTTGGATCTGAGCGAAACCAAGGAGGGAATTTGAAATTTAAAATTTTGATGTGTTTATGCACAATAACTAAGTCCAGTCTTTCAACGCGTATATTTAGTTTTTTAAAATTATCACTATTTTAGTGGGTTTGCAGGTATTTCTTTCTAGTACTGATGGACATTTCTCTAAGGACGAGGTCCTGGAGCAGTTTTTCATGTGTTAATTGGACATTCTGCTATCTTTGAAGAAATGCCTATTCAAATTCTTTTTCTGTTTAATTTACTTATTTATTTTTGGTTTTTGGGTTACATCCACCAGTGCTCAGGGGTTACTCCTGGCTCTGTGGTCAGGAATCACTCCTGCAGGCTCAGGGACCATATCAGGTGCTGGGGATCGAACCTGGGTCTGCCTTATATAAGCAAGGCAAGTGTCTGGCCCCTTTTCCTGTTTTAAAATGGGATCTTTTCTCTAATGGAATTGTAAGCATTGATTTTTTTTCCCCCGGGGGCTCCTAAGTAGTGTTCAAGGGGTCCCACAGTTACTCCTGGTAATATTTGGCCAATGGGTCATGAGTTTCAGTAGCAAGGTCCTGAAGATGCCATAATGCTTGGGTCCTCTGATATGAGCATCTACAGGCCATGACGGGGTACTTGGGGGCTGTGTAGTGTCGAAGGTACAATTTGGTTTCTCTTACCACCTCCCACCCCCATCCTGTTTAATGTTCTTGAATGCAAGTTCCTCATCAGATATGTGATTTGCAAATCAATATTCCTACTGTGGTTGTTTCCTCCTTTTGATGGTCTGGTTTAAGTGCAAAGATTTCAACTTTGATGAAGTCAATCTGCCCATCTTCCTTGTGCTTCTGTGCCTGTAGGGTCATAGCTGAGAAACCAGAGCCTCAATTAACTTTTTCTCAAAGTCCTAGCTCTGTGATCCATGTGAGTTAATTTTGTGTGTTGTATGAGATGCTTCATCTCATTGTTTGGTTCTCCTGTGCTCCTAGAATCGTTGTATGGATTTTAGAATCAGTTTGTCACGTCAGGGCTGGAGAGATAGTACAGTGGGTAGGGCATTTGTCTTGTACTCAGCAGACTCGGTTTCGATCCCCTGCACCCCATATGGTCCCATGAGAGCCACCAGGAGTGATCCCCGAGTGCAGAGACAGGAGTAAGCCCTGAACACACAAAGTGCAAGAACCAACCTCTGGAGGTCAGAAGTGGTTAGATCCTGGTAGATCAAAAAACACAGTGACAGGATGTGGGTCCCAGCATGCCACAGTCCTCACATGGGAAGGAGACAGTGAGCAGCGCGGAGCTCTGAGACAGTGTGGCGGGGAGAAGACTGTCCACGAGGAGAAGTAGGTGAGCAGGGCAGCAACCCCATGGGGGCAGAGACACACGGGGGGCAGGTGGTGGAGTGTTGCCACCTCCTTTTGCAGCTGTTTTATTGGCTGACTGAGGGTGAGGAGTGAGGGCAGGGGGCAGGTGGCAGCCCTTAGGAGGTGCTTCTGTGGCAGGATGACTCTGTGGCAAGCAGCCGGCTGCCTTGCAGTGAGGCCACAAAGTGAATTCCACAATCAAGCGTGTGAGGCCCAAGCCTCACAAGAACTGCAGGAAGGAAGGCGGGCAAGAATCACAGCAGAGGGGCCGGAGAGATAGCATTGTGGGTAGGGTAGGCAGGACATGAGAGCTCATACGGACTGGCCTGAGCCAGTTCCCGACATCCCGTATGGTCTCTCAAGCACCACCAGGAGGGGTTCAGAGTGATGCTCAGGAGTTATAGCACAGAGCCAGGAGTAACTCGAACATCGCTGAGTATGTTCTAGCCCCCTCCTCCGCAAAAAAAAAAAAATCACAGCAGAGGCTTGTTCTTCAGTCCCATGTTCTCCCTTGAACATGTCTCTCACTTGCTTGTCTGTCTCTTTGCTTGCTCATTTCCACTCTGGAGAAACCTGTGTTCTCTCTTGAGCACACACCTATTTTCTCTCCCTTCACATCTTCCTAAATAGGTTTCAAGAAAATCATCTTGCTTCACACGCACACACACATGCACGCGCGCACACACACACACACAGACACAATCACAGCTGAGACAGATAGATGTGACTGTTGTGCTGAGGGGAAGGAGTTGGGCCCTGGTGGCCGGGGACATTGTGTTCTGCCCCTCAAGCTCTCCTCAGGCATGCTGGAGGGTGGCGGAGCCCCAGAGGGTCTGTTTGCAGGGGGTTGACATTTAGGAAGAGTCAGAAGCTTTGTAGCTGGCAGTGGGAAGCAGGGTTTCATGGAAGGAGTCTTGGGCTCTAGGACCTCTTCCCCATGCCGGGGAAAGGAGGTGGAGAGGTCTCTGCAGAAGGCCAAGGTGTCTTTCTGAGTGTTGGGCACTGGGAGAGTTGGGCCATGGCCTCTGTGCAAGGAGGACCCTCTGCCCACCCAACCCATGGCCACCCTGGTGCCAGCTTCGTGGCAGTCCTCTGCAGCTTCTCAGGGCCCAGCTCCTGCTTCGTGTGTGCACCAGGCCTCTTATGCCTGAGCCGTCCTCCAGACCTGACACTGCAGTTCCTCCAGGCTCACACTCAGCATCTGTCCCTCCTCTTGCTTTTGGGGCCAGTGGTTGAGGCTTTGCTTAGAGCAGGGTGGGTGGGGGTCTCATGTGCCCCATGAAGGCACATCTCTGTGTTGGGTCTTCCCAGAGGCTGTGCGATGGGAAGGGCCAGGGGATGTGTGGCTGGGGTGAGGGAGTCTGCCCTGCAAGCCCCACAGCGGCCGCAGTGGGATGAAGCTCCAGCCGCAAGTCCTGGTGGAGGGCCGTGTTGCCTTGGGATGCAGTAGAGTGCGGCTGGGGGCGCTGCTGGTTGGGACAGGCTCTGCTTTTCTGAGCTCGTCTGCCCACCAGTGTCCTACCCAGGGGAGTCTGGAGCAGGCTCCTGTGCCTGGCTGCAGGGGTCACGGCCCAGTCTTGTTCCTGGCCCACTCCCTCCCTGGCTCTCCACGCTGCACATGCAGTGGTAGCAATGAGCAGAACGCCGTTGGCTCACCGGGGATGTCAGAGCCGAGGAAAGGGCTTAGCCGTGGGAAGACCTCCTCGTGACTCCTCCGCGTCCACCTCATACTGCCCATCCAGAGTCCCCTGTGGCCCCCGTCATGGAGAAGGTCACTGCAGGTCAGGTCAGTGGGTGCAGAGGGTGACCCCTTGCAGATGAGGAGCAGTTCTGTGGGGTTGCGACACAGGGAGGCTCTTGGTGTCCCCTCAGAGAAGAGCCAGGCACTGGTGGCTTTGTGTGTGGCACTGCTGGGACCCCCAGGGAAAGGACACTGAATCATTTCAGGGAGAGTGGCAGCCTCAGCCGTGAGACCCTGTTTTTGGTGGCCCTTGTGCTTGGCACCTTGGAGTGCTCCCAAAAATGCCCCTAACAGTGATCCTGAGCCAGAGGTCAGCAGAGGCAGGAGCAGCTGTCGGGAGCGTCACGAGCCGAGGCCTGCTGGGCTCCGTGGAAGCCCGTGGCCTGTGGGCTGGAGAACCACAGCCACCCGTGCTCCGTCCCCGGCAGCCAGCAGGGGGCGTGGTGACAGGGTCTCTGCAGCAGGCCCGGCCTCAGGAGCACCTGGGGAGAGCCAGGCCGTGGGGGCCTTTCACACAGCACAGGGTGCAGGTCTGAAGCTCTCTCGGGGTCTGCGAGCTGCATCCCACGTTGTGGTCACCATACCCGCCCATGCTGGGCTTCCGGGGAAAGGGAGGGCACTGAGCACTGAGGGTGCCGAGTGCAGTCCCAGCTTGTGCTCTCACCCAAGCAGCCACCCCCTGGGGCAGGAGGACTCCCTGGTGGCAGCACAGGCTGGGCTCAGTGCCATCCTCCTCCTTGGGGCCTGGGGGCCTTCCCTCCTTCCTGAGCTTCTTAGCCCTAGGTTGTTTGGATTTCCTCCCTGTGGTGCTGGGTCTTTTCTGCATCCCCCAGATGCTGCGCTGACAGTCCTGGCACAGGGCAGGGGTCTGGGGAGCAGAGGGGAAGGCACTGGGAGGTCCTGCAGGGACCTGGGGCACTGTGACTCTCCGTGTGGACCCCGCAGCTCAGGGAGGGGTGCTGTGGGTGGCCCTGCAGGGAAGCCCCTGACCCAGCAGCTTCTGGCATGCCAGGGCCCTTTCCTGGCACAGAGGCACTTCCAGAGAGGGGTCCCACAGTCTCGCGAGGGGCTCGATTCTAGAGAAACAGCCTTTGGGGGTATACATTAGAACAGGATGCAGGAAGGGGAATGGAGACCAGAGTGCATCCAACCTGCCTGCAGCAACCGACTCACTTCCAAGGAGAAGCACAGTGGAATGGGGAATATTCATTTCCTGTTTTTTTTTTTATTGTCGGTTCCTTAATGACCTTCCTTTGAAACGCTGCCATTATAGAGAGCCGGTTGTCATGGAGACCGGGAGTGCTGTGCGGGGAGTAGGTACACAATGCATTTCTTTGTCCTGTCCAGCTGATGCCTTCAGCCTCTGTTCAGACGTGTGAATTTATGTGAGGAATTAAATATTAACTGGAAGCGCTGGCCTAGAGAGAGGCAGAGCTCAGGGAGAGGGGAGATGTAGGGATAGGTGAAGAGGTGGCAAAGGGATGGGGCACCATGGGGTCATGCAGGTGGCCCTCCCCAAACTCCAGTTCATCTGGCCCCACAACTGACCATGAGGCAGAAATCTGCACCCTGATGTCCAGAGCTAAGATGGGGAGTAAGAATTTTGGGCTCCAGGGATCCCTGAGGGCTGCAGGCGGGGCTGCCCCCAAACAGTCCCCAGACGGAAGCTCATGTGTCCCCCTGATGAATTCTGGAAAAGGGGAGTTTCTGCAAGCACTGGGCAGAAGGGCCCACACTGGTCCCCCGCTGCCCTGGAGCTGGTGCTGTGGGCATTCACCGGGCCTTCCTTTTCTAACCCTCAGAAAATGAATTCCGGGGTGAGCTGCTGAGTCAGAGGTGGACACGCGGAGAAAAGGGCAGCACCGGCAGCACTTCCAGACTCCTCGTGGGCGGACACGGCGAGGTGAGGTGCCGAGTGCAGTCCCAGTGCTCCTGCCGGGGACTCACGGCAGAGGTGACCATTGCCTCTTCGCCCAAGGGATGCTCCCAGCCCAGGTGGTCAGGTGCTTTCACAGCACCACCCAGCGCAGTACACACAGCACACACAGTATTCACAGTACTCACAGCACACACAGCACACAGTGCACACACCACACAGCACACACACCGCACAGCACAACACACTCAGCACACACAATATTCACAGTACTCACAGCACACACACCACACACTGCACAGCGCAGTACACAGCACATGCAATATTCACAGTACTCAAAGCACACAAAACAGCACACACAGCACACAGCACACACACCGTACAGCGCAGTACACACAGCGCACACAGGATACATGATGCACACAGCACGCATGATCTTCATGATACCCACAGCACACAACACACACAGCACACAGACCACACAGTGCAGCACACACAGCACACACAGTACAGTACACACAGAACGTACAATAACACAGTATACATTGCACACACAGCATAGTACACAGAGCACACACAGCCCACACAGCACACACAGCCCACACATGCATACAGCACACTTCTGATTCTAGAACTTCACAAGACAGGTCTGGGTGCTGCCAAGTCCCACGGTTAGGGCACCCCACAGATGGGTGTGCATGTGACAGTGGGCTAGTGGGCCCCTTCCCAGAGTGCGAAGCCTGACAAGCAGATCTCCAGGTCAGGTTCTACATGTCACCCAGGTGCGCTCGGGAAGGAGCAGGGTGGCACCTCCCTGAGGCTCACAGCCTGACACTTTCCTTTTGAATCGAGACCAGGGTGCGTCAGCCGACTGCTCGAGCATCAGGACTGTGTCACTCTCTCTTTTCTCCCTTTGGGTACTGGCGCTCTGCTGGCCTAGATTGGATCTGAGGCAAAGAAAAAGTCAGTAATATCAAACCTGTCAAGATTCACAGATTTGGCACTTTGCTCATCATAGATTTTGACATCGATTTTGTTTGAAAATAGCCCATTAAAGTATCAATTTGCCTCAGCTATCACATTTTGTTCCCCCTGAACTTGCTTCTTGTACTTCCTGCATTCCAGTCCTGATCCTTCCAGTGTGTACCTGGAAGTGACTTGATTTAAGACCCACTGCTCTGACTCTTGGTTCCCTTGTTTCTCCCGGTCTAGGGCTGGTGAGGTCCTGGGGGTGGGGGAAGGGACTGTCTTCCCTGGACTCCCATGGCGAGCGTGGAACAGTGGTCCTGTGTGTGGCCCCTGCTCCGCTTCTCCGAGAACCATCTGTTACCTTCAGAGTCACTTCCTTCTACATGGCACACAGGGCCCCAGTTCTGCTTCCGTGAAGTCTTCGGGCTTCATGGAAGACAGAGGAAGTATCTTCCTAGAGGTCTGTGGGGCAGCCCATTAGCACTTCTGGAAGGCTTCAAAGGAGGGCATGGCCCTTGAGGAGTGGGCAAGGGAGAACAAGCATCAGCTCTGTGGTGGTGGTGGGGTTAGAGTCAGGTGCTGGGAGGGATGTTGGGCGGCTTGGGGTGGGGGCTGGGGGGAGGTGAGGAACTGAGCTCTGGAGGAGAAAGCAGATGTGACATGTGTGGGTGGAGCTCAGGTTCCACAGGAGGAGTCTCTGAGTTCAGCACCAGGGTGTGGACAGCTCAGAGCCTTGGGAAGGACAGTTTGGGAGGGAGGGAGGGAGAAGGGAAGGAGAGAGAGGGAGAGAGAGAGAGGTGCCCGGCATCTGCTTAAGGAGAAAAGGAGCAGGCCTGTAGTGAGTCTTCTCACTCCACCTGCCACTGAAGGGTAAAAGCACACAGCACACAGGTACAGTGGGCTCCAGACGTGGGTGCCGGGAGTAGGCAGACATGAGTAGATTCCTTGCTGCCACTCTAGTAGATTCCGCTGCTGAATAGACCCTCCTGATCCTTTTCTTGGTAGGGCTGGTCTCTGCCTCGGGAAGGCAGAGGCTATGTCAGCATTCTATTTTATTTTATTTTATTTTTTGGCTTATTAGGTCTCACCTGGTGATGCTCAGGGGTTATTTCTATCTGCACACAGGAATTATTCCTGATGGTGCTCAGGGGACCATATGGAGTGTCAGGGATCGAGCCCAGGCTGGCCATGTGCAAGGCAAACACCTTACCGCTGTACTATCGCTCCAGCCCCTATGTTGGCACTTTAGAGAGGCTTTCATTTTTTTTTCTCTTTGGGTCACACCTGCCAATGCTCAGGGGTTACTCCTGGCTTTGCACTCAGGAATCACTCCTGGCGGTGCTCAGGGGACCATATGGGATGCTGGGAATTGAACCCAGGTCGGCTGCCTGCAAGGCTGTGCTATCGCTCCAGCCCCTAGAGAGGCATTCTTTCTTTAAATAGATATTTTCCTCTTTCTTTCTTTCTTTCTTTCTTTCTTTCTTTCTCTCTTTTTTCTTTTTCTCTTCCTTTTTTCTTTATTCTTTTCTCTCTTTCTCTCTTTTTCTCATTGAATAATGTGAGATACACAGTTACAAAGTTGTTCATGATTGGGTTTCAGTCACAATGTTCCAACACCTGTCCTGTCTTCTTGCCACCAATGTCCTCAATTTCTTTTCTGCCTGCTTTCCCCGACTCCACCCCCACAGTCTACCTCTATGACAAACACTTTTCTTCTCTCTCTCTCTCTCTCTCTCTCTCTCTCTCCCTCTCTCATCTTCCTTTTAGGCACTGTGGTTTGCAATATTGAAACTGAAAGGGTATCATGCATATCTCTTTACCTCCTTTTGGCACTCAGTTTTGTCCAGAGTGATCATTTTCATTTGTCATTGTCACAGTGGTCCCTCTCTGTCCTAACTTTACTCCCCTTCCCCCTTCGTGGCTTCCTACCATGGATCCTAGATGTGTTTGTGTTATCAGAGCATCTATTATGTAGTTATGGCTTTTAATTTTGGGGTTTCAGGAAGTCATGATTCCACACTTAGAGATGTCAGGAGAACCCCTCCCAAGACACAGAAGGCTCTGCAGCGTGCACCCCAAGGAGAAGGCTGGCCCGTTCAGCTGCCAGGAGGCCCAACAATAGGTGGAACGTCAGGAGAATTTCAGACACACAGTGGGGTGCTCCCCAAAGGGAGCCAGAACTGTTCTGCATGGATCCAGGGGTGCCACGAGAGCCCCCCAGGGTACAGTGGTGCTGTGAAAGGCCCTCAAAGGTATTTGGGTGCTGAGAGGCTATGTGGAGAGGCCTTCAGAGGTGCAGGGGTGCTGGGAGGGCCCTCAGTTTCCTGCGGTGTTGTGAAAGGCCCCTGGGGGTACAGGGGTGCTGTGAGGCCATGAGGGGTGTAGGAGAGGTGGTTTCAGAGTACTGCGAGGGGTGCAGGGTGCTGTATGGTGTGAGGGGCGCAGGGTGCTGTGAGACCCTAAAGTCGATGCGAAGCTGTCAGGGGAATCTCGCCTAGACGCAGAGGCTGGGAAGCAGGGTGTGCGTGGAGGGAGCCCCACAGAGACAGACTGGTTTGCTCACACCCAGAGAGAGCATGAGGTGGGCACGGATTTGACACAGACAGAGGCCGGCTACCAGTGCTATGTACTGGACAGAAATGGACCTAGATGGTGTGTGCTTAGAACAAGGACAGGGTCCACTTATGGAGTCACTGGAGACCCTGGTACCTCATTGTCTCTATGGCCGCAAGTGCCCTATCACATGTGGGGGTGGAGCAGAAGACCGGTGGTCTGTGGGCCAAGCAGCGTGAGGCCGGCCAACCAGGACCACCTGCGGGGCCTGTCCTCCTGCAAATTGGGTGTCCGTGGGGACCCCCAGTCAGGGCGTCCCCCCGGAGATGATGAGGGAGTGTGGAGTGGGTTTGCTGCTCCTTGCACAGACTCTGCCCTGCTAACCTCTCCCAGCAGAGAAACCAGTTTTCCTGTTTCACGGTCGATGACTCCCAACTCTTCAGACCCATTCTCATACTAGAGGGCTGAACGTTTCTTCCTTAGCTGAGTTCTTTCCGCTTGTAAAGCCATAACTAGAAGCACCAAAGAGAACTTCTCAATGGCCACTTGCTGCAAGTAAGTTGCAAAGGAAGGTGCTCTGCAATGTGGATGCCACAGCTGCCGACTCTGCCGTGGGGCTCTCCTTCCCCACCCTCTCTTCTCTGCTCCCTGAATGAGTTATCTGCAAGAAATCCAAATGGTCTAGACTCGCTTTAAACCAGAAGAATGCTTGCCAATTTCTTTGGGAAAACTGATGGAAAAAGGGCAATTCAGCTGAGAGCCAGTGGTGGGGACGGCACCCTCATGTGCCTCAGCCAACCCTGCAGAAGAAGCTGAAGGGCTCGACCAGGACGCCTGCTCTTCTGCTCTTCTAGTGGCAGGCACTGGTCCATGGGGAATCTGCGCTTCAGAAATAGAACGGATCGTGGTTGTCTGTGTGCTGCTGGGAGCTGCGGCCAGCACCCGTCAGCACCGCGGCACAGGAGTTACCCATATTTTTATTTTCTTCCTTAACAAATATTCAACATCCCTGAGTGTTGGTGCTGCCTGAGGCTCTGCTCTGCAGAGATCATCTCATAACTTGGGGAAATTCCTTCTCTTTCTTCTGGTGGTACCTTGAAGCTGATCTCTGGCAGGGTTAGGGATGGCAGCCCCACACAGTGGTCCTCCCTTCCCTTCTCTGCCCACCGTCCAGCTCTCCCTTTGCAGACTGGACTGTGACCCAAATCAAGACAACTGTTCCCCCCCTTTCCTAACCACAGGGGAGTGAGGGGCCCTGGACTTTTCTGGGAGGGTGGGAAGCATCGTGCTGCTCTGGCCAGAGGCACTCTCCCCAGGAGACTGTGTCCCTGCCCTCCCACCCTCTCAGGGTTCCCACCACAGGTCTGTGTGACCCTGTCCCGGGCTGACCCTTTGAGAGCGCTTCCTCAGGTGGAAGCTGGGCTGTCACGTAGGCAGGCCGCCACTGGAGGCCGGCAAGGGTGCTTGTCCCTGTGGAAGGCTCGCCTGGAAGGTGGTCTGCTTATGACTCCTAACCTGCTGCTTCCTGCCTAAGCCTGTGGGTTCCCACCCACACCTGCATCTGCCTCCATAGCCAGGCTGTCCAGCACTGGCCACTTGGCCCGTGTCTGGTCTGCGGTGGGCCCCAGAGGTAAGCAGGCTGGCACTGAAGCAGATGCACCTGCAAGGCTCATGCTCATGGGGAAACGGTGCTGCTCCCAACAGAGGGGCTGGCTGGAGATTCTGTTTATTCTCTCTCTCAGCTTGAGGTGGTCCTTAGAGCCCACCAGCCCATCTCATTGGTGCCCCTGTGCCCAGGCTACATCCCCCGCTTTCTCTGAACAGCATCCCTGTAGAAAGACAGCTGCCGTCACAGGCACTGTCAATGCTGGCCTGAGATACCTGTGCAGGCTGCCTCGCACGTCAGGGTCCCTGGCACCTGTGGAAATGGGCTCCAGGACACAGGGTGAGAGGCAGGGCCGGCCTTCCCTTGTCCGGCCACGTGAGCAGTGAGCAGCATTTTCCAGGGCTGCAGAAAGCCAGACGGGCACACTAGCATCCCAGAAAGATTGTGGTGGGTTCCCAGTACCTCCCTCCACAGGCCTTTCTTCTCAAACCTGGGGCAGCATCAGGAGAGGGGCTTGCGGGGTTGGGGTCTCTCATCAGCACCCCCTTGCTGTTGCTCCTGGCCAGAGGCAAGCCCAGGACGGCAGAGATGGCAGGGGCTGCACCCGAGGGCTGTCGGGGCTCTGTCTCCATCAACGCTGCCCTTGTGTTTGCTTGCAGATGAGCTTAGACAATGATGATAAAAGAGCTCGAACCCGATCCAAGGCCCTTCGAGGTGAGTGTTCCCAACCCTCCTGACTGGGTCCTGCCTGGACTTTCCAAAGCTCTGCTCTGGCTGGGTTCTGCCTCTCAGGCGGTAAATGCTGCATTTTCCACAGGACCCAGGCAGTGCCTAGACCTGAGACGTGCCTCCCCGACCAGGCACTTGGGATCTGATGGCTCCAGATGTATGAGAGCCTTTGGGGCTTGGCCCAGGTCTTCCCACCTGCAGTGGCGTCGGGGGCCAGACTCAGTCAGGACACTGCTCTGTGTGGCAAGCAAAGGCCGCCAGCCCCTGGGATGCCCGCCTGGTGCTGCCAGGAACTGGGGTTATGAGGTGGTGGCAAGGACAGGGTGAAGTTCTGCTGCGTGACAGGACCCGGCCTGAGCTCACTCGGGGGCCGTGGAGTTGCTGCCTGTGTCACCTGCAGGCACCCAGGGGCCTGCACAGGGGCAGCTCTGTGGCTCTCTCCTCCCGTCCAGCTGCATCTGCAGAGCCCAACTGCAGTTAGGGGAGGAGATACTGTCCTGGCCCCGAGGACCTTCTGGGTGAGATTCACTCAGCCTAGCCCTCTGATCTGAGCACCACTTAGCCCTGGAGGTCAGGAGAGGGGTCTGGGTTGTGACTTTCTATTTCTGACCCCATCCCTCTCTCCCCGTTTCTCTCTCATGCAGCACCCCCAGAGTCTGCAGGTGCTGACCTCAGGTAAGGAAGGGTTTGACAGTGTCGAGCACTGGACACATCTGTGACCCTGACCCTGTGGTCACCTGGGAGTGTCTGGTTTCCCTAAGAGCCCTGTTCTGCCCAGTGCGGGCTTTCCACTGGCCATATGCCCTTCTCTCTGCCCTCTCCCGGCTGTCCACGCCACAATGCACCCCACTGGTGCTAGAGGCATGCGTGTGCGGCCCCCAGAAATCACCAGAGTCTCACACAGCCACCGCGGCTATGCCACTTCTCATGACTTCTTCATGGGCAGCGAGAGGCCACCTACCAGCGAGAGGCCAGGGCCATCCTCTTTGCCCCCAGGGGCCCATAGACTTGAGACTCCACCATGACCTGTGACATCAGAGCTCCCACAGGCGCCAGGCCTGTCCCACAGGGCAGTGTCTTGAGTAGGGGGGTGGCCACTAGCACTTGTCTCGTCAGAGCAGGAGATCTGATCCCCTTCTAAAGGTGCGAGGATGTGTCCTTAGGCTTGGCTGAGATTTTGGGTTTTTTCATTTTTATTTTTTTGGTGGGGATTTGGGTTGCACCTTGTGCTCAGGGGTCACTCCTGGCAGTACTCGAGGGGCCCAATGTGGTATGAGGGTTCAAAGGGGGGTCTCTCGTCTGCAAGCCTAAACTGTCCTAACTCTCCAGTTGGTGGGCCTCTGCAGGAGGGAAGGGCCAGGGGGAGGCCGTCCCAGACCACACACAGCTCTTGTCTGTGGTGCGGAGCCTCCTGGTCACCCCAGTGCCTGTGCTGGCCAAGAGCCACGAGCAAGACCATACCCCAGTGTTCCCCTTTTTTTCTAAGAAGGGCGGTGGTCATGCTTTCTGGCTCAAAGCCCAGGAACAGACCAAGGTGCTGTGATGGTCCCCATGGTTCTGGGAGGCTTTACATCTGTTCAGGACTTTTGTAAAGCCCCCTCAGGCTGGGTCAGACTTGAGCTATAGCCAGGGAGCCCACCTGGAGCTTGTCCTGGGCACTGAGGCCTGGGTGGGGCTGTAACAGGCTTGCAGAGCAAAGAGGTTGAGAGGGGAGGCCGTGACTCAGAGCCTGGCACCTGCAGCTCTTGGTGTCCTTCTCAGGCCCAGGTGCATTGCCTGGGGGTGCTGTCAGCCTAGGTTGGAGAGGAAAGCCAGGTCAGAGGTCAGAGGTCAGAGACAGAAAACTGGCACTGAAGCGCAGGCCCTTGTTTGCAGCCCAGGTCTGGTTGTGGGCTGGGATCCAGCTCTCAGACATGAGCCCTTCCCTGGGCTCAGATCCCTCGGACCCTCTCCACACTGGAGGTGTTACGGAAAGCCCACAGGTGCTGGAACTCTGAGTGGAGAGAGGCTTCTGGAAAGGGGTCAGTGACGTGTGATCACCATGCCATGGTCACGGGGACGTCTTTGGTGACAAGGAGGGAGGAGCTTGGACAGAACTGAGAACTCTGGGGAGCAGAGAGATAGGACAGCAGGTGGGCTCTTTCCTTGCATGCAGCTGACAATCCCTAGGACCCCACTTGGTCCCCAGAGCCTGCCGGGAGTGATTCCCGAGTGCATAGCCAGGAGGAAGTGATGAGCACCACCAGGTGTGGCCCCCAGACAAAACAAAACAAAGAAGAACTGAGTCTTGGTAACTGAAGCTATGGAGGAAGTTGGAGAGGCAAATGAAAAGATGGGACTTTCTCTTGAGGCTCTGAAGCAGCAGAAGCAAACATAGCTCAAGGTAGATTAGTCTGTTCTGAAACATTCTGAGGCTCCAGGCATGGAGAGTGAGGGGATTGTGTGAGTACCTGGACTTAGTCTGTGGCTCAGTGAGACCATGGTAAGCCCAGGGATATCTGCACATCCCGTGGAGCCCAGAGGCTTGGAGCAGGTGGCTCCTGGCTTCTTTGATGGCCCAGAGCCCACCAACATCACCCAGAGTCTTCCCTAAGTGCCCCAGAGAAGACCATGGCCTGTGACTCTCTTTGTGCCGGGGGCGTTACCAGTCCCTTCAGCTTGATTTTCTATTATTATTATTTTATTATTTTTTTGTGTGCATTTGGGGGCAACCAAATATATAGGACTTTACTTCTGACTCTGCACTCAGGGATCACTACTGTCAACTCTTGGGAGACCATGTGGGGTGCTGGCAATCAAACCCTGGCTTGGTCCTTGCAAGGCCAGCACCCTGCCCACTGTGTTGTCTCTCCAGCCCCAGAGCCTCAGCCTGAGTTTGAATTGGGCCTCAGCCTCTGCAGGTGGCCATGGTGTGTGTCCTCTCAGCAGAGTGTCCATTTCAGATCTGGGAGAGACTCCTGTTCCTCACTGGAGCATGCTGTTCCTCACCTCATGGCCTCCTTCTTGAGCCTACAGGACAGTCGAGAGTGGGGGGGTAGTTTCTCTGCCTGCTCCTGGGGGCTGAAGGCAGCTGAGGCGGGAGCTGTGGGGGGCTATCTCCTGGCTGTGGCTCTGAGTGATGCCATTGGCCCAGACCCTGTTCACTAAGGTCACAGGTCACTGGGCGTCCACCTGCCTTCTCCCTGTCTCTGCATGCTGGGGAGGGGTCTGAGCACAGTCAGGGAGGCCCTGGGCGGGCCTCAGGCCCCACACAGAGGGCCAGCAGCCCCCTCTCCCTTTCCCATGCATGCACTCACACACGCAGCCCCCCAGCCTGTCGCCTTCCGCAGCAGGGCCGTGCTGGGGGCCGGGGGGCGGGGAAGGTGTTTCCTGGAGCAGGTGACATGTTTGGGGCAGTGCCAGTGCCCCCCAGGCCTCCACAGCAGCTGGCACCTAATTGCCTGATTAACTCAATGATTAACCCACTAATCGGGCCCTCAGCTTCAAATCCCCGACAACAAGGAGCTTCTGTGAAATGTCTCAAAGCTAGCTCTGGAGAGAGGAAGAGCACATGTGAGGCCAAGGTTCTGCAGACACCTGGGGTAGCGCCTCCCTAGAGAGGCTGCACAGCACCCATCCACCCTTCTCCTTCCTGTCCTTGGTGATGACAGTGGTGCCCAGCTCGGTGGCTGCTCCCAAGGACCAGGTAACTGCCCACCCTGACCAGTCTCCCAGGCGTCGGTGAATGTGGTCAGGCCTGCCACATCAGAGCCCGTCGGTGGTCCTCTCTCCTCTGGCTCTTCTCGCTGTGCCTCCTTCCCAAGGGGAGGCACCCAGGGCCCTGATGCTGCCCACTGAGAATGGGGTGTGCAGCACCTAGTCCCACCCCCAGTTCTACATGGTCCACTGCGCACCGCTGAGTGGCCCTGGAGACCTCAGTCCTGCGTCCTCACGCCCCAGCACGGGCTGCAGTCCTGGTGGAGTGTCGCGAGCAGAGGCCCTTGGCCCCTCAGCACCACTTGGGAGCCGCCCTAAGCACATCTCATCTCGGGCAGGGTCCTTGGGGCCCCTCCCCACTTTGTAATCTCCTATGGATTCGCCTTTCCTTGAAACGGGGGTGGGGGATGTGGTGGTTCCTTGGTCCATGGGTATGGCCAGTAGCTAACAGGGCCCTGGTCTCATCTTGGAAGCACTGGAGGTGTTCATATGAGAAGCTTCCAGAACTAGACAACATGTTGTCTAGTTCTGAGCTCCCTCAGAACTGGAACTGGAACCCATGTGAGGGCAGAAGTTCTGCACTCACCCCCTGCTTACACCCTGCACTGCCCTGCCCACTGCACTCCTGTATCCTCTGCACCCTGCACCCCTGAGGCTCTGCACCCCGCACCCCTGAGGCTCTGCACCCCGCACCCCTGAGTCTCTGCACCCCGCATCCCTGAGTCTCTGCACCCTGCATCTCCGGGTCTCTGCACCCTGCACCCCTGAGTCTCTGCACCCTGCACCCCTGAGTCTCTGCACCCCCAAGTCTCTGCACCCTGAACTCCTGAGTCTCTGAACCCTGTACCCCTGAGTCTCTGCACCCCCAAGTCTCTGCACCCCGCACCCCTGGATCTCTGCACCCCTGAGTCTCTGCACCCCACACCCCTGAGTCTCTGCACCCCACACCCCTGAGTCTCTGCACCCCACACCCCTGAGTCTCTGCACCCCACACCCCTGAGTCTCTGCACCCTTGCACTCCTTGCACTCCGCAGCCCCCATACCTGCACTCTCCTGCACTCCTGCACCCTGCACCCCTGAACTTCCTCGCACCCTGTCTGTGCTGGCCTGGGTGACAGCTGAAGGGACCATCTCTGCTGGGCTGCTGGCTCTGCAGGTTCAGGGATGGGGTCTCATCCACCTTGTTTCCCCCCGACTGGCAGCCCTGCAGAGTGGTTCTGGCCTGCAGAGCCACACAGGCATCTCTCTTCCCTGCAGTGGGCCTCCCGCTGTCTCAGAACCCCAGTGTTGGTGCTGAACCCTTGGGGGGAGCCCTCCGGGGTCTGGGTTCGTACTCATGGAAGCCCAGCAGTTGGCTGGCAATGAGGCTGGTGATCTGAGACAAGGATTCACCCAGCCGGGCGGCCATGGGAGTCTTGACCTCACGTAGAGGGATCTTTAAACCACACTCAGAGCTGTATCAGCCTTTCCATGACTTAAATGGGGTTTTGCCAGTGGGGGCCACCCTTCTGATATGCATTTTTGGAGCTGACGTTCCGTGGCCCAGGGGGAGGGAAGGGGTCTGGGACGGCCCAGCGGCTTCTCCTCACTTCTCCTGAACCCCTGTTCCTGCTTGTCCTCCAGCTGCCCCACCCCAGGATGCACAGGCTCGGGACACATCCGGGGCAAGTACTCCAGGCACCGAAGGTAAGGACCCTTGACCTCTCCATGCTGCCTGGGAAGGTGCTGTGAGCGGTGGCACCTGCCTGCTGCCCTGGCTCCGGAGCCTGGGGCCGAGGGCCACGGGGATTAGGTCCTTTCAGAGAAGTGAGATGCCGTTTGAAGAACCATCAGGCACTTTAAATCTCATTTTTGCTTTGTTTCATTTTTGGATCATACTCAGTGGGGCTCAGGACGCAGTCCTGGTGTGTTGCTCGGGGGCTGCTCCCAGTGGTCTCTGGGGGACCATGCAGTGCTGGAGATTGAAGCCAGGCTTCCTGCTTGCAGATCCTGCTCTCAGCCCTTAGAGTCATCTGCCCGGCCTTACAGCAAAAGCTTCACACTCTGTCCTCCCAGTCATGAGCTGGGGCTCTAGTTGAGATGCAAAGAGATGCAGAGGGCTAGGGTGGGCAGGAGGCAGGGAGGTGCTGAGGGAGAGCCGGCCTGGTCTCCCGCTGCCCAGTCTGCAGAGCTGCCCTCTGGCCAAGAAGAGGAAGATGGAAGGCGTGGAGGCCGAGCACCTGGTGTGCAAGCGGAAGTCGCTGCCCCTGAAGCTGGCGCTGGACGAGGGCTGCGGCCTGGAGAGCGAGGGCAGTGAGGATGCCGAAGTGAAGGATGCCTCTGTCTCGGGTGAATCGGAAGGAACTCTGGAGGAGGACGAGGCCGAGATGTCGGGACAGGAGGACATTCATCGCTCTGAGCCAGCTGAAGGTGCTTTGTTGCTCATTCTCCCTGAATAAAGGCACTTAGTGTGGCCCTGAGAATCGCAGCCCGTGAGTGGGAGGGGCCCCTCCGACTGAGTGAAAGGGCCGCGGGGTGCCCTTCCTGAGAACAAGCACGGTTTTGTCCCCATGTGCTGGGTTTTCCTGGAGAGGGGCCCGCACGGCAGTGGGGCCCGTGGCATGTGTGTGAACGCAGGGGGAGCAGTTGTGGTTGTGTCTGTGGGCATGAGAGAGATGTGTGGACAGGTAAGGAGGGCTGTGTGGGCACCGGGGTCTAAGACAGCCCAGCCCACCAGACCCTGGGGTGAGCTGCTTGGAAACAGGCTGCGGGTGCAGGTGAAAGCTGGGAATGAGCGTGGGTTCTCTCTGCAGCTGCTCCTACCCCAAGAGCCTAGCCTGATAAATGCCAGGCTGCCCCCACCCAAAACCCAGCCTGGTGAATGCCAGGCTGCCCCCACAGACCCTGGAGGCTCTGAGACTTTGGGCTGTGCTGAGACCCTAGGGTCCCGCTCTCCAGTCGCACCCAGTATCTTCCGAACCGAAAGAATATGAGACAGATTTTTGTTCTATTTTGGCATCCAGGGAGGGTGCTCACACCTGCCTCCTGGCCATGCTCTACCCAAGCCTAGGTGCAGCCCCACAAACTACAGGGTCAAGGACTCATCTGTCTATTTTTACAAAGGAGTGGGTGCCCTGGGGAGGGTCCCCAGCCCCAGGGTGGTGAGTGCCCACGCAGCTTAGTCATGGCAGCTAAAAGACTCAAACTTGAGTCCTTTAAAAATACAGATTTGTTCTCTGCTTTTCTGTCATGAAACACTTTTTTTTTCCTTTTTGGGTCACACCTGGCAAAGCACAGGGGTTGCTCCTGGCTCTGTACTCAGGAATTACTCCTGGCGGTGCTCAGGGGACCATATGGGATGCTAGGAATCAAACCCGGGTCGGTTGAGTGCAAGGCAAATGCCCTACCAGCTGTGCTATCACTCCAGCCCCCGTTGTGAAACACTCCTGAAAACATTGGCTGCACTGTCTAAATGGCCCACCTGATGCAGGGTCACCTGACCTGAGTGCATGCACACACAAGGCAGGACTAGCCATGTGAAGGTCAGAGCAAGCCCAGCTCCTGCATACAGAACCCTAGAATCAGGTTGCAGGGAACCCTGTCTTCAAGGCTCATGCCCTTCACGTGCATTGAGGCGGGGCAGGAGCCCTCTCCATGCCCGGCTTCTCCCACGTGGCATTTCTGATTCTATTCAGGAAGGAGCCCTGTCAGGTGTCACTTTGGATCCACCCCCGTCAGCAGCCGTTCAGGTACCTCTAAGGGCAGCTACAGCAGCTACCAGGAAATCATCGCCACTTCTCTCCTGAACCTGGGCCAAATCGCCGAGGAGGCCCTGGTTGGGGAGGACTCAGACCAGGCATCCAAGCAAGGCTCCGGCATCGTGCACCTGGTTCAGGAGGAGACTGAGGAAGGGGCCAGCAGTGACGAGGGTGAGAAGGAGGTCTTCATCCAGCCCGAGGATGCTGAGGAGGTCATTGAGATCAGCAGTGAGCGCTCGCAGGACCTGTGTCCCCAGTCCCTGAAGGGGGTGGCCAGCAAGCAGAAGGTCACCCTGGGCCAGGAGGAGGAGGAGGAGGAGGAGGAGGAGGAAGAGGAGGAAGAAGAAGAGGAGGAGGAGGAAGACGAGGAGGAGGAAGAGGAGGAGGAGGAGGAGGAGGAAGAGGAGGAGGAGGATGATGAGGAGGCTGATCCTGATGTGATCTGCCAGGAAGACGCCCCCCGCGCCTCTACTCCGAAGGGCACTGAGCCCCGGCATGCTGCACTGCCCAGCCCCAAGCCTGAGTACTCTGTCATCGTGGAGGTGCACTCTGAGGATGGCAAGGATGAGGACACGCGTTCCCAGAAATCGGCCGTGACCGATGAGTCAGACATGTACGACATGATGACGCGTGGGAACCTGGGCCTCCTGGAGCAGGCCATTGCCCTGAAGGCAGAGCAGGTGCGCTCCGTCTGTGAGCCCGGCTGCCTGCCCACCGACCAGGGCCAGCTGGGTCCCAGTGACCCAGGGAAGGGGCCGCGGCCACAGGACTCCGCACGGAAGAACTACTGCAGCAAAGGTAGGCGGGGCTGGCCCTCCTGCGGGACACAGGCGGGCACCTGGGGGATGAGCTGCAGGGGGATGGACCATGGCTGTGGGCTCCCAAGATGGTCTGAGAAAGGGCTGGAGGCCAGGGAAGGGAGTTTGGAAGGGCAGTGATCGGGATCCAACCCTTGGCCTGGGGGAGTGGGGAGACCCTTTGGGTCTGGAGAGGTCACTTGGGGAATGAAGAAACTGGGGGAGCTGAAGCCTGGGACCCCCATGCAGACAGACGAGTGGGACACTCATCCCTATGGCAGGTGCTGGCAGATATTGAGGGACAGCTGCAGGGACACAGAGGGGGACGTTATCTTGGCCTGGAGGACAGCTGTCAAGGGCTACCATTCCAGAGCAATGTTGTCGGGGTGTCAGCCAGGTCTCGAGAGATGCAGACACAGGAAGCTCAGGTAAAAAGCCCCAGACTCAGGGATAGGTCAGACGTTGGTGGGGTACGCAGACCAGGTTTGACACAGCCGGAGCCCTGGAGAGTGGCAAGCTACATGGCACACAGGCCCCACAGACGAGTGAGAGCCCTGGACCCAGGGCCTGGGAACTCTGACCTGTCGGACAGATAGCAAGCAATGTGGGTGTCTGAGCTGGGCACGCAGGGCAGGGCCTGGCCATCCTGTGCTGAGGGCTGAGACTGGCTTTCTGCTCCCAGGGAGGCACAGCCCATGGAACCCAGCAGGGGGCACTGGGAACCCCCCTCAGAGCCCCTCGGGACCCAATTTGATTTTGCCCTTTGTACTCTGACTGCAGGGCTGGGGGTCCTGCTCTTGGGAGCTCCCCAGGGGGCTCAGAATGTGGCTCTGTGGTTTCGGTTTGTTAAGGGAGTCTGCTCCAGAGGGAACCCCACAATTTGTATTTAGTAGTTGTGAGGCTTGGGTTGACTCACTCACCTGCTTTCTCTTGACCGTCCAGTGTAAGCCTGTCTAGGCAGCGGCTCAGTCACAGGCCCTCACATCTCTGGGAAGGTGCAGTGCAGGAAGTCCCTTTGCCAGTGGGAGGAGGAGGGAGAAGAGCCCGTGGCTATCTAGGTCTCCCACGAGAATCGCTGAGCCTGAACTCTGGGGAGAGTTAAGGAGGCTCAGGAGTTCCAGAGAGTTGGTCCATGCCAGCGCTCCAGTGACCTGCTGCCCAGCTCTCAGTGGCCGGACTGCCAGAATGAGGGGCCTCCCACCTGCCCGCACCCTGCACCCCCCAACTTCATGTCTCCTCTGTTTAGATCCCTCCAGAGCTGAGAAGCGTGAGATCAAGTGCCCGACCCCAGGCTGTGACGGCACGGGCCACGTGACAGGGCTGTACCCACACCATCGCAGTCTGTCTGGCTGCCCCCACAAAGACAGGATCCCCCCCGAGAGTGAGTGCTCCGGGCCCAGACATGGAGTGGGGAGGTGTCTGCAGGGCTGACCGTCCCGAGCACTGCCCAGATGCCAGTCTGAGCCCCACGAGGCTGCCCACTACCCCCTGGCCACAGCGGCCTGACCCGGCCCCTCTGGGAGAGTGCAGGCAGGGGAAGGGAAGTCAAATGGTGAGGGTCCTGTTCTCTGGGGGCCCAGGCCAAGGCAGCTGCTGTGAACATCCCATTCCGAGGGTTTATTCAAACAAAGCAGCTTGTCAGGATGGGGCTGGGCCCTGGGTGCTGGAAATGCTCCAGGCTGCTATCCCACGCTCTAACGGGCCCACCCCACCGGGAGGCGCCTCAGCCCCCTCCTCAGATGCTTCCCTGCCCTAATCCTGTGGCTGCACCACACCCACAGGTGCTCCTATCTGAGGGGTGCCCCAGTCCTGTCCTCTCACGGCCACCTCCCTTCCTCTGGGGAGTACCCTACCCCTCTGCCAGGCGGCCCCGGGGGTAACCCCAGCTCCTGAGCTTGCTCACTGCCTCTTCTCTCTTGTAGTCCTGGCCATGCATGAGAACGTGCTGAAGTGCCCCACGCCCGGCTGCACGGGCCAGGGCCATGTGAACAGCAACCGCAACACACACCGCAGGTACTGGACTGGGCGGGTGCCCTGTGCCCAGGGGGAGGCCGAGGGTGCTGCGTTCCCCTGTGTGGGACGGGCTGGGCCCGCCATGTCCACCAGGTGCCATCCCCAGAGCTGCTTCCAGATCAGGGCAGGCCTGTCCAAGTCGGGGGCAGAGTGTTGCTGCCCCCGGGAGGAGAGGGACACTCTGGTCCCTCCTGGCACTACTCCGGGCAGCTCAGGGGCCCAGGCTCACTCGAGTGGGTGGACTTGCTCCCCAGATAGGCAGGTAGCAGTGTCCGAGGCCGCTCCTCAGGGGTGAGAAGACGCCCACAGGTGCTGGATCAGCCGCCCTCCACGCAGTCCTCTGAGAGAGAAGCTCTCCCAGCTGCTCAGCCCGTAACCCTAGTGTCACACCAGTGATCTTGTCCTCAGGCTCAACCCCAAGCTGTGCACCACAGGGCCCTGGGCTTCCCCAGGGCAACTGAAGAAATGAGATCTCAGGACAGGTTCAGAGTCCAGAGCAGGGATGAGGAGAGAAGAGGAGGAGGGGAGAGAAGGAAGGAGGAGAGTGGGAGGGGAAGGTCAATGACAGGAGGAGAGGAGGAGGGGAGAGGAGGGTGAGGTGGGGGAGGAGAGGAGAGGGGGAGGAGGTGGGGAGGAGGGGGAGGGGAGGAGGAGGTGAGAGGGGCGGGTCGAGGATGGAAAGGGAGGGGAGAGGAGGGAGGGGAGCCGCAGGCTCTGCAAACCCAGACGCTCACTCGCTCCTGAGGTTGCCCTGCCCAGATCTCCGAGGCCTTTATCCTGTCTGTGCTGTGGCCCAGGATTTCCCAGAGCAGAAGCCCCGGGAGCAGCTCTGAGGGGTGTGGGCACGGTGGAGAGAAACTGCGTTGGTGAATCGAGCTCTCTCAGGGCTCCTGCTGCCCTCGGGCCTGTTCCCGCTCGGTCTTCAGGGGAGGGCTCAGCTGTCTCCTGGTCCTTTCTCTAGTTTGTCTGGGTGTCCCATTGCTGCTGCTGAAAAATTAGCCAAATCTCATGAGAAGCAACAGCCGCAGTCGGGGGACCCTTCCAAGAGCAGCTCCAATTCAGACCGGATCCTCAGGTGAGTGGAACGAGCCACAGGCGAAGAGCGGCCCCCCAGGTTCGAGTAGGCTGTGAGAGTCCTGCGTCAGCCCACCCATGCGATGGAGCTCGTACTCCGAATGTGTATCCTGTGTATACCTGTGTGTGCGTGTGCTCCTCTGTGTGCCTGTGTGCCTGTGAGTGCTCCTGTGTGTGCCTGAGTGTGCCCGTGTTTGCCTGTGAGTGTGCCTGTGTGTGCCTGTGAGCATGCCTGTGAGTGTGCCTGTGAGTGTGCCTGTGTGTGCCTGTGAGTGTGCCTGTGTGTGCCTGTGAGTGAGTCTGTGTGTATGCCTGTGAGTGTGCCTGTGTGTGCCTGTGAGTGTGTCTGTGTGTATGCCTGTGTATGTGCCTGTGTGTGCCTGTGAGCATGCCTGTGAGTGTGCCTGTGTGTGTGCCTGTGAGTGTGCCTGTGTGTGCCTGTGAGTGTGTCTGTGTGTATGCCTGTGTATGTGCCTGTGTGTGCCTGTGAGTGTGCCTCTGTATGCGCCTCTGTGTGTGCCTGTGTGTGCCTCTGTGTGTACTTGTGAGTGCTACTGCGTGTGCCTGCGTGTGCCTGCGTGTGCCTGTGTGTGCCTGTGAGTGCTCCCGTGTATGCATATGTTCCTCTGGTGAGCCTGTGTAGGCTGCTGTATGTGTCTTTCTGTGGACCTGTGTCTGTGTGTGTCCATGCGTGTACCTCTGTGCATGTGTGGTTGTCTGCTCCCGAGTGTGTACTCGTGTGTGTCTGTGTGTGCATGTGCTCCTGTGTTTGTGAGCCTGTGTGTTCCTGTGTGTGTACCTGTGCATGTGTGCACCTGTTTGAACTCCTGTGTGGTCCACTGTATGTGTATGCTTGCGTTTACTCCCAGGTGCCTCTGCATGTGTGCGTGCTTCTGTTTGTGTGTGCCTGTGTATACAGCTGTGTGTGCATGTGTGTCTGTGTGTGCTCCTTCCTACGTGCGGATGTCTCATGTCTGAGGCATTTGCTGGGCCTCGGCTATGGAGCCAGTCCTGGCATGGCCACTCAGACCCGCTCCCCCACTGGACCCGCATCTTTCGTAAAGCTGCTCAAGGTGTATGTGTGGAGATGCTGGTCCCATTCTGAAACAACACACTGCCCCGCCTAAGGAAGAGTAGGAACACTCACCCCCATGCTGCTGCCTGACCTCCCCAACTTGGGACAAGGCCATGGGGGAGACCTGGTACAGCCTCTCTGTTCCAACATAGTGGTGGGGTCAGGTGCTGTGTGCATGGAAACAAGTGTCAGGGCTCGAGTGTTTGTATGTGTGAAGGAATGGCTTCAGCAGACACCTGGATCTCTCAGACTGTTCAGCGCCTACCTTCTCTGAACATCGTCCCACCCCTGTGAGAGCCTGTGAATAGGTACCACAGGGAGGGCTCAGGACCTTGCCCAAGGCCAAATTCTGTGGGAAGCTGCACCAGTCTTGTCCAGACGAGACACAGCACCCCAGTTACCCAGCACGTGGAGTCCCCTGACATTCTGGGTCCCCTGCCATGAGTTTGGGAACTCCATGCCCTTTCTCACTCTGAGAAACTAGAGTTCCCACAGGCTCTCCTGACCCTGGCCGGTGTGCCTTCCTGGTGCAGTCTTGCTCAGGCTCTCCAGCTGCTTTCATCCAGAGGAGCTTGGCCATGGAGGGTCCCAGGCCAGGGGTCTCTGGGCGGGTCAGGACATTCCCCACACCTCCTCCCATGGGTCAGCTTCATCCAGTTGACGTCATCAAACCAGCTGGCTCTCACAAGCATCAAAGCTGCTTCTGACTCACTATTCCTTTCAACTTCCTGTTCCTCACTGACATGATCTTTTGCTGCCTTGAACTCTGTCACTGATGACACATCAAACACCAGGCAGTGAGACAACACAAACTTGGAACTCTGCAGAGGCTGCACCACTGGCTCCTATGCTTGGTCTCTCAAGGAACCGCTCCTGGGCATGTTGGCCCAGGGGAGTGGGCTCCGTGCTCAGGCCCAGTGTGGCTTGGGGACCACAGGCACATCACCCAGCAGTGCTAGGGGGCCATGTGCAGCGAACCAAAGTCAGGGCTGCCACTGGTTAGGCGTGGGCTCACCTTTCCGGAATGAAATCATGGCCTGGTTGTGAGAGGGCTGAAGAGAGGTGGCCTGGCCTCTCCGTCTCCCTCCATCCCTCACCTCTGTGCGGCCTCCTCTGACTTTCTCTCTGGTTTCTGTGCTCTCCGAACGTTGCTGTCTTTGCACTGTCCTCTGTGCATTTAAAGATTCAGTTTTTCTGTAACACTTGCAGGGCCTTTCATGCCTGTCCCTGCTGTTCCCAGAAGCTCCTATAGGGTCATCACAGCAGACAACGGAGGGCTCAGCCTCCCTGGTGAAAAGCTGAGTCCCCCGAAACACCTGCGTCCCCTATGGCTGCTCCGACGACCTCCCCCACGTGGAACTCCATGTTTCTCGTCCTCCACTCAGTGTGGGAACCCTTCCATGCCTTCCCAGGGTTGCTCTTGTGGAGTTGTCCCAACTACAGTCAAGCCGCTCGAAGGAGTGCTGGATGCCCGCTCTGCCTAATGCTGTCTGCAAGGGAACAAGCAGTATTTCTTCACAAATCTTTCTGCTTCTTCTCACAGGCTCTGGATGGTCTTAATTTGGGGGTGTGGCATGGGGGCGCTTTCCTGAGTCTTTGTCCATTTGGCCTCTGAGGGTCCTTGTCCATGTTGTGCAGTGAAACACTGGGGATGGCAGCGTGAGGCCCCTAACCCTGTGTTCATGATTCTGCATCTTCATCCTACACCCTAGACCCATGTGCTTCGTGAAGCAGCTTGAGGTTCCTCCATACGGAAGCTACCGGCCGAGTGTGGCCCCCACCACACCCAGAGCCAACCTGGCCAAGGAGCTGGAGAAATTCTCCAAGGTGGCCTTTGACTACGCAAGCTTCGATGCTCAGGTGTTTGGCAAACGCATGCTTGCCCCAAAGATTCAAACCAGCGAAACCTCACCTAAAGCCTTTAAATGTAAGTTGGGGGGAGCTATTCTCGGTAGGTGCAGGACTTGAGGGGCCATGGGAGAGGCACTTCTTTTGAGGAACATGTAGGAGGTCTCTACCTGGGGGAGCCAATGGGTGGGCCACCTCGCTGTCCCAGTGTCTCTGCGGTGGCTTCTCAGCTGGTCTCCCTGTCACCGCGCAGCTGACGATGTCCTACTGTCTTGTGAAGGAGTGCATGCCAGAGACAAAAATAACTGCTGGACTCCTCCTGCCAGTGCTTACTCCCCGGGTGGTGTGGGGGTTGGGGGGTGTGGCTGGAAAATGGCCCTGAAGTGGCAACCTGGAAACTCTTTCTTCCTTTAGGGGAGCATGTTGGCTGGGTACGATGTATTGTCTGTGAGGCTTGCCATGCATTTCTGAGTATTAACAAAAATGCTCAACACTGCCTGTCCTTTTGGCCATAGCACAGCGGTAGGGCGTTTGCCTTGCACGCAGCCCACACGGCCGACCTGAGTTCGATTCCTCTGCCCCTCTCGGAGAGCCCGGCTAGCTACCGAGAGTATCTTGCCCGCACGGCAGAGCCTGGCAAGCTCCCCGTGAAGTATTCGATATGCCAAACACAGTAACAACAAAGTCTCCAATGGAGATGTTACTGGGCCCGCTCGAGCAAATCGACGAACAACGGGAGGGCCTTTACCTTTACCTTTACCTATTACATGAATTTGTGAGTTGGGAGCCATTAGTCCTGGAGTTTCACAAGGAGTAGAAGTATACTTGCTTGCACATTCCAGCCAGGGCTGACCCCGCAGGCCCCCCTCAGGCACCTCCCTGCACACCTTGCCCCATGCTGCCGGTCATTTGGGCTCCCCTTACCTCTGCGTGTGAGTGGGGAACACTGCACCGGGCCAGCAGCCAGCGCAGCTGAGTGTCGCTCCTGACTCAGGGTGGGTCCACTTTTGTGCTCATACACCAGAACATTTCAAGGGGCTTCCCATTAATCTGGGAGTTGGCTGGTGATTTTGGTTGGCTCAGAAACTCCTGCAGCACACTTTCTGGAAAGGAAAACTTACCGTACCTCCATTTGTCACACTGGTCCGAGTTTCACTGCTGCTCTATGAGACCGTGACCATGGTGGGTACACCAGCTCCACCCTTCTGAAAAGTTGTGGTCAAATGTTTCCGCTTGAGTGGTATTCCAAATGCTCAGCTATTTACAGTATTGTCACCTCGGTGAGCACTCCCGCTAACACTATTCTGAATGAAGTACTAGGGCTGCTGACATGTTATTGGATGGGTTCATTTCTCCTGACCTTTGGGACAGGTTAGGAATGGGATTTCTGGCTCTGCATCCCACCCCTGGGCATGTGGTAATGGGAGCCTAGGGCTGAACTCCTTTTCCCTGGGGTGTGCACTGTGTGCTCCCAGCCACCCCCACCCCTGCAGCCCCTGAAGTGCTTTTGCTTGTGCTTGTGCTTGTGTGGTTGCCTCCTCTCTGGTCACACAGCTGCCTGGTGTTGTCCCCTCTTTGCAGCCAACCCTTTCCCAAAGGGCTCTCCCTCTGGGCACAGCCCCCGCACTTCACCCTCTTGTACAGGCTTCGACTACGCCCAGGACGCCGAGGCCGCACACATGGCCGCCACCGCCATCCTGAACCTCTCCACTCGCTGCTGGGAGATGCCCGAGAACCTCAGCACCAAGCCACAGGATCTGCCTGGCAAGGTGGGCGTTTCTCCACGAGTGCCCTGCTACCCCTTTCCCTGAGGCTCGTGAGTGGAATTCAAGGTCAGGCCACATGCGTCCTGCATAGCATGCCCTCAGGAACACCCGGCGATTGTCCACAGGGGTTGTTCCCATTGTTTCTCTCATTGGGCCATTCCCTGGGTGATGAGAGTCGCAGGAAAAGCCCAGTCAGAGAACTGTGTGCTGTATTCCCTGGTCAAAGGTCATGCCCACACTTCTCCCTCCTATGTCCCTGGTCCGAGGCTTGTGCAAAAACCTATTCCTGCTTCTGAGTGGGGCGCACATCTGCTCTGTGCCTTCTGCATCAGGTCATGCCTCTGCTCATCTCTGACATTGCCAGGCCTTCTCAGCTGCCTGGTGGGACGTTGAGCCTCAGGCGGAGGCAGCTCCTCCAGGCCAGTTCCAGGAGGTGGCTAGCGAGACTCTTGCGGAGGGTTGTCCATTCCTGTGCCTCTGTCCTGGCTCCTTCTGCCTCCCCGGCCACACTGTAGTGCAGACACAGGTGAGGGAGCAGAAGCTCTCAGCCTGCACTGTTGCCGTTGCAGTCCGTGGACATCGAGGTGGACGAGAATGGAACCCTGGACCTGAGCATGCACAAGCACCGCCGGCGGGACAGCGCCGTCCCTGGCAGCGGCAGCTGCAGCAGCAGCCCCGGTGTGAAATCCCCCGACGCCTGCCAGCGCCCCGGCAGCACAAGTGCCCCCAGCAGCTCCATGACCTCGCCCCAGTCCAGCCAGGCCTCTCGCCAGGATGAGTGGGACCGACCCCTGGACTACACCAAGCCCAGTCGGCCCCGAGAGGAGGAACCGGAGGAGGTGGGTGCAGGGCGGAGGGAGGGGCTGTGCAGGCTGCTGGCCCACCTGAGGGCCACCTGCTCAAAACTGCCTCTCCGCGGGCTCATGGCCCTGGCCCTTCTCTGCTCTGGGCCGTTGGGTCACAGCCCACTCCTGAGGAGGGAGGGCTCCCTCACCCTCCTGGGGCAGTGCCTTCGTACCTGCCGGCTGCTCAGGGCTCTCTGCGGTGTGCGCAGAGACGGCCTCCTCCAGTGTCCGTGGGTACCACATGGGGACAGCAGCATGCTCCTGCTTTGGGGAGCCCCTACCAACCCACCAGGCAGAGGTACCCTGAACTCTGGAATCCAGTGGTTCCCAGGTGATCCCAGCAGGCAGTGGCTCAGGCCATCAGGACCCTGCAGACTGGTCAGAAGCAGTGGCAGAGTACTGCCGGGGTGTATCTGGGTACTGCGGGGCACCCCTGCATAGCTGTCCTGCTCCCTGGAGGTGGGGGCTCTCCCCCACAGACTATGCTCCTGAGTTGCAGAGCCCCCTCAGAGGACACTGGGGACCAGCAGCCATTGCACAGGGTGGGATAAGCCCCCCAGCTGCTTTTTCTCCCCTTTAAGGTCAGGAAGGCAGTGGCAGTCATGGGGGTGGACGTGGGGCCAGACCCCCGGGAGGGCAGCGTGGGATGGGCACGCTGTCCAGGGCTTCTCTCAGCCTGCTGCCTCCATAGAGGCTTCCAGGCAGCTGGGATCCCCCCCACCCGTTTGCTCCTGCCCACTCTGGCGGTGCTAAGAGCTAGCCGTGGGCTAGCAGCAGTGTCCTGTGAGGTGGGGGAGGTAAACCGGTCGGGGCTTTACCTGTTTCTCCATGGCTGGTAGACCCAATGTACAGGTCTCATGGATCGAGCACACAGCAGTTTCCATCTCCCTTGACGGGCTATTGTGTGTGCGTCACTGCCATTGTCTGTCTCTCCTGAGACGGTGGGACTTGTGTGTGTCCCTCTCACGTGAGGCAGACATGCGCTGGACTAAGGAGCCCTGCCCACTCCCCCCAAGCCTTAGCCCCTCCCCTGCTGCTATTATACGAGCTCTCTGTCTCCAGAGGCTGCTCCCCAGGAGCCTGGTCAGGGCCACTTTTACTCAGGGCACCTTTCCCTCCAGGATGGGCACTGTCACCTGTCACCTCAGGGTGATCGAGGCCATCAAGGTCCCTCCCCACTGAGGTCCAGACTCCATTCCTAAGTCAGTAGTCACTGACCCTCAGCTGACCCCATATACTCCTGCAGCCCCTTCTCCTGGGCATGGATGTCGAGACTCTGGGCTCAGTGCAGGGGCTCTGAGGAGGGGGCATGCCGGGTCATCCCCAGAAATACTTGATGCAGGCCTGAGCCTGGTCCCTCTTCCTGGCCCTGCTCCAGACTCCCTCCTTCCTTCTCTGTGAAAGCTCCTGGCCCTTCTGGGGAAGGACCCACCTCCCCATGGGCCCCCTCGCAGGGCTACCCCCTGCTTGCAGGACAGCCCAAGCCGCTCTGTGCACAGTGTCAAAGAGGGTCCCTGTGCTGCTGGGCGCAGCACCACTGAGGAGCTTCGTCCAATGACAGGCTAATGAGCCCTGTTTACTGAGCAGCTGGACACAGGGCCACTGGTTACTCCAGCAGTGACAGAGCTGCAGTCACCAGTCACTGGGTTTTCTCCTGCTGGTTACTTGCTGACAGTCCCTCACTGGGTCCCTGTGTGTTCTATGAGTGCTGCTATTACACGAGCTGTAAAAGTTGGGGCCCGAGACCTGGGTGTTGGAGGTGTTAGTGTATCACCCAGCCTTTCCCTGTCTCTGGCGCCGGCCTGCAGACACCACAGGCGGTGGGTTCCCATGGGCGCTGGGGATGGAGCAGGGGTGGAGGCCAGCAGCCTGGGAGGCACCAAGAGCCAGGGGCTCCAGACACACAGGGTACCCCCAGGCCTCCCCAGTCTAGACTGTCGGCTCGTGCAAGGGCCCTGATGAGGGGACATGCGAGCCCTCATTGATTTGCTCGAGCGGGCCCAGTAACGTCTCCATTGGAGACTTTGTTGTTACTGTGTCTGGCATATCGAATACGTCACGGGGAGCTTGCCAGGCTCTGCCGTGCGGGTGAGATACTCTCGGTAGCTTGCCGGGCTCTCCGAGAGGGGTGGAGGAATCGAACTTGGGTCGGCCATGTTGGCTGCGTGCAAGGCAAACGCCCTACCGCTGTGCTATCGCTCCAGCCCTCATCGGAAATAGGAATACCCCAGAAAATTGTGCCTCTGTGAACACAGCTCTGAAGGGTCCCACTCATAGCTCCGGGTCAGGTGCCCGGCCCCAACTGCTAGCTGAAACTTTTCCCTGCTGGTCTTTTTCAGTCAGAGCCAGCAGCCCATTCTTTTGCTTCTTCTGAAGCAGATGACCAGGAAGTGTTGGAGGAGAACCTGGAGGAGCGGAAATACCCCGGGGAAGTCACCCTGACCAATTTTAAGCTGAAGTTTCTCTCCAAGGACATAAAGAAGGAACTGCTCACGTAAGTGCCCACTCTAGCAGCCAGGGACTGTGGTCAGTGGGGAAGAAAAGCCTGGGCCACCTGGGACCTCTGCATCATGCAGTCTAGGCCTCCCAGATCCGTTCACTGACTGGCCACTGGCCTGACTTGGTGGCCTTGCTAGACACATCTGGGCCCTTCCTGAGGGCCCTCCTGGGGCAGGCAGAGGGAGGGAGAGTTCCAGTCACCTCTGCCCTGTCTGCCTTCAGAGTGGCTCAGGAGAAAGTCTCCTGCTTGGCAGCTGCAGGACAAGTGGACCGAGAGTCCCTTGAGGCCCTTTCTGAATGACCACCGCAGGCCGGGGGCATGTTGCTACAGGACTAGGTGCCCTTGGCCCTGTAGCCCCACCTCCTCACAGGCCTAGCTAGACACACCAGTCACTGTGAGTGTCCAGCATCAGAGCCCATAGCCCTGCTGGCCCATTGAGCTCTTTCAGGAAGACTCCACCAGGGCTGCCGGTGCTGGGAGCTCCATCCTGGATCTCCTATGTTCCCCTCTGAGAACCTGACAAGGTTCTTCCCAGTGGCGGCCTCAGGCTTGGCCCGGTCTGGGCACCGTCATGCAATGCTCTGAGGCCTCCTCCTGGCCTCCTCCTGGCTGTTCCGACTGTGGTCCAGTGTCTTTCTCCTTCTTGATAAGCTGCGTGGGAGAGACAGGAGTCAGAGCAAGGACTGCTCCGAGCACGGGGTGTGTGTGCTCTGGCTTGCGCTGAGTCAGGGGCAGGTGCCCTGCTGCCTGCACAGCTCGGCCCGGGGCAGACCTGCGTGCGCCTTGCTCTCTGTTCTCACGCTCTTTTTCCTTTGCCAGCTGTCCCACCCCCGGCTGTGACGGCAGTGGCCACATCACCGGGAACTATGCCTCCCACCGCAGGTTCGTCTCCGGCTGGGGGCCAGCCTGGCCTGGGTGCTGCGTGGTGGGGCTTCCTCCTGTCCTCCTCTGCTCCCCCTCTTTGGCTTACCCCCTCTCCCATCTCTTCTCTTTCAGCCTCTCTGGTTGCCCTCTTGCTGACAAGAGCCTCAGAAACCTCATGGCTGCCCATTCTGCTGACCTCAAGTATGTCTGCCTCCTGGTCTCGCGCTCCTGGAGGCTGCCTTGCTCTGCTCTCTCCTACGAGGCTCCAGCCAAGTCAGTCTTGCCCAGCAGCACAGGGTGCAGGGGCCGACTGTTTGGCTGGGGCCACGCTGCTGCTGTGTGTGTCTCCCTGCTCTGAATGTGCTGCACGCCGACCCCCTTGGCTGTGGCTGCTCTGGGCTCCACGCTGCTCTCAGCCCCGCCCACCTCTCTGTGCAGAAATAAGAGCCCCCAGACTCCCAGGGGTCTGGCTCCTAGTCCTCTTCAGTCTCCCGACGGCCTCTGGGCCTGCTCTCCTCGTGCCTGGAGCCTGGCAGGGACCAGAGTGGTCCTGGCCTGGGAGTCTAGTGGGCGCGGCAGGCTAAGTGTGTGGCTTGCTAAGTGAGTGGAACATGAGGCAGAAGGAGGGCGCTCTGCCGTCCCCCCCGCTCCCCACAGCTGCTGCTGTCTTGGCTATGCCTTCGAGACAGGCTTTCTCTGCTGAGCCCTCCTCTCTTGAGTCTCCTCTTTCTGCTTTTGCTCCTCCCAGCCCAAGCGCATGGACACCGGTCAGCCTCCCCGATGGTCCTGCTCAGACAGACGCTGGGTCCGGTCTCCCTGGGCAGGGGGCACTTGGGCTGGCCCCGGGCTCGTCACTGCTGCTGGCCTCGTTGCCGGCGGCACTGCACGTGATGGCCCCTGAGCTGTGTGGTGCTGGTCCCGGGATCTCAGGCTGAGCTGTGGCTACGTAAAGTTCTCTTGCTGGCCCTCCACATCAGTCCCTGCCTTTGTGTCTGTGCTGGGGGAACCCTGAGTCCAGGCCGGGCTGCTGGGGCTTATTTCATTCTGGGCCAGAGAGGAGCGGGTGCTTGGGAGCCTGTGCGCTGAGTGGCTGTTGCTGCTTATGGGTACATTGAGCTGAGGCAATGGGGAACCAGGACAGACCAGACCTCGCAGATGCCCTACCCTGCCAGGTCGGTCTGTCTCTGCTGAGGGCCGTGAGTCCCAGCACTCAGGACAAGAGTTTTATGGCTCATTGTGACCCCTGAGCTCTGTTCCCATCACCACACTGGCAGGCAGCAGGGGTACAAAAAGACCCTTTTTCTGGAGCTCACAGCTTTGAAATGACTGCTTTCTGAGGCTCAGCTCAGCATGGTACTGTCACATGTCCCAGAAACCCAGCTGAAACTCAGCCTTGCAGGTTGGGTCTCCCTTGCCAGGCCTTTCCTCCCCACCTACCTTCTCTTTTACCTTCTTTCTTCAATTTCCTTTTCCACTTTTCCTTTCTTTCCTAACTACAAACAGTTCCATGCTTTCCTAGATGTGGCCACGTGGTTCAGTGGCCCTTGGTTCCTGCGGACACACTGGCTGCTGGGGGACCCCCGGAGACTGACCAGGTCCTGACACTCAGCCTCAGGAGCCAGCATCCTCCACGCCGAGGAGCTTGTGATGCTTCGCTCAAAACCTGTTTAGAAATAGTGGCTGCAGAAAGTGTACCTTGTGTGAGACAGGTCATTCATCCTCCTCCTCCTCCTCAACATGTTGGACTGCCCCTGTGTGGCTGTCCTCTCAGGACACCCTGTGGGCTCGGGAGAGTGAGGGGTGGGCTCCCCCTGCTCCTGGAGTGCCACTTCTCTCTCCCTGGCCCCCTCTGCTCCAGAGCATCTGGCTTTGGCTGTTCTGGACAGCCTGGTGTCACACGGGGGCGAAGCTGATCCAACCCCCCGGGACAGACCCCTGGCTGTGCCTTGCACACAGGCCAGCTCTGGAGCTCCCCGGCAGTCCCTGGGTACAGCGATGGTGTAGTACGCTGTTTGTGTCTCAGACCACAAGGGGAAGGGTCTTCCTTCCACAGCTGGGGCAGGCACAGCCGTCCTGGACGTCAGGCGACTCTGGGGGCAGTTGGGCTGCAGACACACATGAGCTGCACAGGGTTAGCAGCTCCCCACAGGGGACAGGGACGGGCCACAGAGGCACGGTCTGGTGGCACCACCAAGCTAGAGTGGACGCCCCGCTTGGACTCCCCTCTTCCTAGGAAGTTCAGCCAGGTGGATGTGTGGTGCCCAGGCTGCTGGGCCCCTTGACGCTGTCCCTCTTAGATGGGACCTTGGAGTGGGCTTCAACCCCGCTGTATGCAGCACTGCACCTCACCAAGGACTCCAGAGAGAGACACCCCTGATCTGGGGGCAGAGAACACCCTGCTGGCTGCTCTCGGCCGTCAGCCCCATAGGTGTCCCTGGCTCTGCACTGATTCCTGCAGCTGAGGGGAGCAGGCCCGCGGCGTGGCACCTGCACAGACACAGACGTGGCGGAGAGTATGCACCTGGCAAGGGGCACTAGGGGCTTGGTTTCAGCCCAGAGTGTCAAGTGGGGCATCCTTGATGTTTCCACAGGGTGCAGTGCCCACAGAGCCACCCCGAGGGCTACCCTGAGTAGCTTTAACCCTGGGCATAAGGTGTCAGGAGAGATGCAGGGCTGTTTGGAAGGGGAGGCTTCTATGAGTGGGGTGGGGGCCAGGCTCTACACAAAAGCAAAGCCTTCCTTTCCCCAGAATGTGCAGGCGGGGGTCCTAACTGCACTCGGGCTGGATTCACCCCAGAACACACAGGAGGTGACAGTCACTTTTGCTCAGAGACCCAAGAGGCTTCCTGGAGGGAGGAACAGCCAGGCAGGGACAGGAGGAGGCCTGTGGCAGTTCTGAGGGTTCTCTGAGGGGAACAGGCAGCAGGTCCAGTCCTGGGGAGTCCTGTGTCCCTGCGTCCTCTGTGCTCTGAGTACCAGGCATTCACTGGGAGAAGCCGGCAGGGAGAAGCCCTGATCTCAGGGCAAGGGCTTGGGAAATGTGCCAGTCTGCTGACCAGGGCCAAGGCCTGTGTCCCCTTCCCCTGGGGCTGTCTTCCAACCTTTGTGCTGAGCAGCTGCCCCAGATCCCCCATGAAGATGGACCTGGGGCAGAGGGGAAATGCTCCATGGGGGAAGGCTTTTGGGTAGGGTTCAAGGTTCCCCTGGGCTCGCACGGGCCTGAGCTGACCTACAAGCAACAGGCCCACCCGCAGGGGCCTTCCAGGCCAACAGACGCAGGCTCACCGCTTGCCGTCTCTGGCACCAGCAGGAGCCCCCTCGGCCAGCCTTAGGTGCTGGTAGGGGGTCGGTGCCATGCGCAGAGGTCCCCAGTCCCGTCCAGATCTCAGTGTGGGCAATGCGCGGGTGGCGGATTTCTTCTCTTATTCTCTCATTTTCTGCTCATTTGCTCGTGGCACTGGCTGACCTCTAGGAGAAGCAACTCTCTTCGTCCTCCACTTCGGAAAAGAGAAACCAGTTTTATGGCTTAGGTTGTCTGTCTGAGTGCTTGGGTTGAACATTTGAGCCTGTGTGTTTCTAGACTATTAGCCTGGCTCCCTCAGGAGGAGACCCTTGGTCACTGCACTGGAGGCAGGTGGTCCTGTCCTTCAGTTCACCCTTACGGAGAAGTGGCCAAGTTCTGATGCAGAGCCTGGATGGGCTTTCCACGGTGGTCCCACTCGGGTGGCCCCACTCGGCTTTCCATGGTGGTCCCAGGGCTACGGCCCTCCCTCTCGGACCTCAGGGCTGGCAGTGGTGGTGGGAGGGGCAGCGGGCAGGGGACACACAGGACCAGATACCGTGTAGCGGTGGTCCCAGCTCTGCTGTCCTCCGCAGGTGCCCCACGCCTGGCTGTGATGGCTCTGGCCACATAACAGGAAACTACGCTTCACACCGCAGGTGAGCCTGCCGTTCCTTGTCGGTGCGAGGCATGAAGCATAAAACCAGGGGCCACACAGCCCACTTCATCTCCTTGGGATGAGGTGCTGAGGGCCCAGATGGGATGGCAGTGCCCCGTACAGCCTCTGCAGTCAGAGCTTGAGGCTCACGGTGACACTTCGTGTGTGGGTTCCACTGCCGGGCAGGGCTTGCTGGCTGCAGTTTCCTGGTCTGGGCTGCTGTTCACAGAACTTGTAGGCGGTGGGTGGAGGGGTGCAGAGGGGCGGTGGAGCTCCTATCCAAAGCAACAGCAGTGTCTTTCCTCTTTCAAAACCAGCCTGTCAGGATGTCCTCGTGCCAAGAAAAGTGGAGCCAAGGTGACACCTACAAGAGATGACAAGGAAGATCCTGAGCTGATGAAGTAAGTCGGTCCTAGCTTCTTTCTCGTTCCGGGGAATTGGAACTTCCCGATGCAGCCATCAACCTATTCGTCTAATCATCTATCTCTTTTCCATATAGGGTGAAAAATGGATGATTTTCCTGGCAATGCTCGGGGGCTGTGTGGTGATGGGGTTCAAGCTCAGGGCTCCTAACATGCCCAGCATGTGCTCTACCATTTGAGCTGTCTCCCCAGTCCTCCAATATTTTTGACTTTAAGAATCTCCTTCTAGATTCCATTTTCATGAATACAGCCCATCAACAGCATAACCCATCTTTTGTTTGGTTTGGGTCCCAGCTGCTGCTGCTTAGAGGCTACTCCCAGTTCTACCCTCAGGGGTTGTTCTGGGTGGTATTCAGGAGACTGGGAGGTGCTGGGAATCAAATCTAGGGTTCCTGTATGCCAAGTACATGCTCAGTCCATTGGGCTCTCTTTCCAGCCCCTGATAACGCCCTTCTATTTTTGGTGGGTCTCCTGAGTGGTGTTTGGGAGGCCCGAGAGGCCCTTCCTGGAGATTTTGTTTGTTGTGTTGCACTAAGAATCCCTCCTGGCGGTGCACAGGGGACCAAATAGGATGCCGGGGATTGGACCCAGGCTGCCGTCATTTCAAGGCAACTGCACTACATGCTGCGCTGTGTCTCTGACCCCCTCCTAACAGGGCAGAGAGTCCTGAGGTGCTACTTGGGTCCTAGGGCTCTGGGGGGTTCCAGGGTCTTCAGAGCAGCCCACAAGCACTGCACAACTGTGTTCTGGCAGGGAAGATCCAGGAGGCGAGAGCCAGGGGGGTTGGGCAGCTCCACAGAGGAGTCTCTGAATGTCAGGCATCTTTGTTCCCACACCCTTGCAGGCAGCTGGTGCTAGTGAGGGAGAGAGCACAAGCTTGGTGCCCAGCGACTAAAGTTCTTGAAAGCCTCCACTGCTTGCCTCCCGGGGGTGCAATTTGTGTGTGAATTCTGATTCTGTGTTTCCTGCCTTTGGGGGCTGTGCCACTGCAAGCGCCCCTGTCCAGGAGCGACCCTGCCGCCCCCCACCCCCCTTGCAGGTGGAGGCATCGGCACAAACAAGACGACCCACTGTTCGATTTTCCCATGCCTTTCCAAGTTGGCACCGGGCAGAGCAGGCAGTGGCCCACAGCAAATGAGGGGCAGAAGAGAGCGAGTCTGGCTTCTGGTGGCCCAGGGCCGCAGGTCTTCCCTGGCTGTGTTACTGCAGGCCGAGAGCACTGAGGCACTTAGCCCTGAGACGGGAACAACCTGACCTGAGGCTGGGGTCTCCTCTTTGGAGCGGCCCCAGCTGCACGAGCATATCCACTCAGTCACGCAGGAGGGGGCTTCTTGGCTAGCAACACACCTGTCGCAGCTTCAGTACCACCCACACTTTTGTATCATAAGGGTGTATCTTGTTTGTTTTTCAGGTCTTTTACAATAAAGCTATAGTGAACACTAAGTCAGAAATGCCAAGTACTTGGTTCTTGGTACTGTGCCTGCCTCTGCTGAGTGCCAGGGTGGATAAAGGTGCGGGCACTTGAGTGTGACCTGTGAGTGGCAGCGCTGCTAGTGGGAGTACTCAGGTGAATGTGCTGCCCACTTTTTCTAAAGTAAGATCTGCACAACCAAGTGGGAATGTGGTTTTTAGCCAAAGTTAAGTATCTCCAGGCTAGGTGGCATTCCTAAAGGCATCATGGCAAGTAGGGACTTCCCCCACAGAGCCCCCAGCTCTGCCAAGAGGTGACTAGGATTTCCCTACATGGCAGGCAGACCCTAGCAGTACCTGGGCAGGTCACCAGGCCCTGCTCTGGGACTGGATGTGTCAGCTCATGCTGGCTTCGGAAGGGCTGGCAGAAGAATTTCCTTTTACGGCACCTTGTGTCTGTACTATTTGAGGTGATGTCACGTCAGCACTTTGTGGTTTTCCCTTCGGCTATACCAAACTGCTGGTCATAGATGTCTGTGCAGTTCTGGGGCAAGACCCAAATGTCCTAAGCCCTGACTGTTCCCCTGGTGTTGGCACTAGACACATGGTGCCTCTCTGACCTGAGGGTCCCAGCCACAGGTCCCTCCCACGATGTCCCCCACGGGACTCTGGGGAACACAGGGAGTCCTTCATACTCCTGACAGGACTTGTCTGACTGCCCTGCATGCTGGGCCTGGGAGTGGGGGCAAAGAGCCTTGCTGTAGCCTCTTGGGGCCCAGGAAAATTCCAGCAGCCTTTCAGGGGAGTGTCAGGGACTTGCAAGAAGCAAGTGAGATGCAAGATTGAATGGCAGTGTGGTAGAAGAGCTGCCTCCCACGAGGCCTTTCCATCTGGGGATGCCAGAGGCCACACTGGCATGGAGTCTCCAGCTCAGGGGGACTGGAGAAGAAGAGAAAGGGTGTTCAGCTTTGAAGGAGGACACGGAAAGGGCCCTCGCCTAGCTCTCTGCAGGGCCCCAGGCCTGGTGGATAGACCCAGTGCACCCCTGCCAATACCTGTAGTTATGTGGAGAAGGAGTAAGAATCAAGAGCGGGACAAGTGAGAAGCTGGTCTGAGAAGCTCGGATGGTAGGAAGAGTTCAGGTGGCATCTCCATGGACAGTACGCCGCCCCCCCCCCCTCCCCAGGTGTTCTCTCTGCGCACAGGGTGTGTCTGCTGCTTTCCCCGCCCACAGATAGGGGATGGTGGGAAATGAGTAAGAGGAGCCGCAGTTGGCTGTCGGGGAAGGAAGAACTTCAGGCAGGGAGGCTGTTTCCTGAGTCAGACACAGCCCTGAGGGTGCCAGAGTCCTGGAACAAGGGGCTTCTGGTCGAGGTCCCTTCCCAGGGGATGTCCAAGCTCCAGCATGGTCCTGCCACAGGGAGGACAGGAAGAACAAGTGGCTGCTGGCCCCTGCCCCCATCACCATCCCTTGGGGAGTGCAGGTGCCTTCCGTAAGCTCCTTCAAAAGAGGTGCTCATCTAGGGTCTGGCATGCCAGGTCTCTGGGCTTCTCTCCCCTCAAGTCCACCTCCTTTTTGTCTCTAGGTGCCCTGTTCCTGGCTGTGTGGGGCTTGGCCACATCAGTGGCAAATATGCGTCTCACAGAAGTGCGTCTGGCTGCCCCCTTGCAGCCCGGAGACAGAAGGAGGGTTCCCTCAATGGCTCATCTTTCTCTTGGAAGTCTCTGAAGAATGAAGGGCCCACCTGTCCCACCCCAGGCTGTGACGGCTCAGGTCATGCCAATGGGAGCTTCCTCACCCACCGGAGGTGACTGTACCCACAACCTGTTTCTCCTGCAGCTTGGCAGTGGCAGCCTCCGCCACGAAGGCCTCATCTCCCACAGGTGCAGCTGTGACCTGCAGGGTCTCAAGGGAAAGCAAGGAGTCAGTTATTAGTGACTGGAAGCCTCGGAAAGTCTGTTGGGGCTTAACTTTTGTTTGGTCATATCAGCCCAAGTGCCTGCTGCTCTCAGCCCTGGGGGAGGCCCTCCGACAAGGGGCAGAATCCTGTCTTGGTCTGTGTGCCCTCAAACAGATGCTGCTGCTCCCAACAGCTGTACCCACACTTTAGGTCCTGGACCTTCTGCTGGGGCCTCTTCTCTGAACAGAGCCCCAATTCTCCCCCTGTTTTGTAAGGGACAAGAAAAGACTTCCTATCTGGATAGGAGGCCCAGGCAGAGGCAGCTTGTTCTCATCTCTGCCCAAAACCTGGCCCAGGATTGAGGGTACCTTGCTTCACCAACCCTGCTCTTGTTCTTGGCACCCAGCGTGATGACAAAAGGACTCAGGGTCAGCACCGAGTCCCATTTTACACTTCCTTCTAGTTTGTCCTTTTCTCTCAGCCTGAGAAATTAGCCGATTCTCATTCTCTGTGTGTGAATGGAGAGTCCCCCAAATGTCAGGCTCCGTAGAGACCAGAGAACAGAAGAGCCAGGTAGCTCTCCTGGAGATGATTTGTTGAGGGCCAGTAGGACCACAACCTGTAGACAAGTGAGTAAATAAAGGAGGACCTAGAACCTAGGAGGACCATGTTATACATACTGGACGGGGAATTTGCAGCAGGGAAGGATCAGAAAGGCCTCTCTAAGGACATCGGGAACTTGCCCTAAGCCATCTCTCAAGCCAACAAGCTTCCTGGGCTGTAGCCTGGGCTATGATTGACCTGCCATCTGACATGGATGGATATGGAGATAGGGTGGCAATAGGGTGCTGGGGCAGGGGAGTGGGGGGCGGGGCATGAGGAGATGAACTAGAAAGTTCCAAGTCAAGTTACTGGTTGGTGAGGACTTGACTTTAACAGTGAGGTGTGTCTTTGGGCTGTCCATATACTGTGTAACGTTGGACTGCCCTGGGGAGACCATGCACTATCCATATAGTGTCAACTTGAACCAGAGCAGCTGGAGTGGCTCATAGAATGTGCCTGGGTTTGACTTTGAATGTGTGTTTTGTTCCTAGCTTGTCTGGTTGTCCCAGAGCCACCTTTGCTGGAAAGAAGGGAAAACTCTCAGGGGAAGACGTTCTCAGCACCAAGTTCAAGACAAGCGACGGTGAGGTGCCCACTTTAGTCCCTGCATGTGACCTTTGCAGCCTGAGGGTGAGAGAGTGGTGTCTGGAAGCAAAGCCCCTGCTGGAGTAAATCATGATGGTGACAGACCCTTGACCTCAGCTAACTGGCTTCTTTACCTTGGTTCTGGACTTCGGGCTCTCAGAAACCCAAATCCAGCTCTGTGCTCCTGAGTGGCTTCACTTGCTCTACCCTGGATATTATGATGTTGGCCTTAGGCTCCTGTGCTGGCAGCACCAAAATGTGTCCTTAGGGGTTGTGCAGTTGTGAATTCACTTGGTCTAAATGAAGAAGGAGGTTGAGCAAATTCAGCGCCATGTAGACAATCTTCCACATTTTCTTGGGACCCTGTGGGGGGCAGTTTGCTACACCTGGCAGTGCTCAGGGGTCACTCCTGGCTGTACCTGAGAGGCCATGCAGTGCTAGGGATTGAACCTGTGCCTCCAGCAAGTTAAAGCATGTGTGCTGGTCGTTTGAGCTACCTCATACCTCCAAATTCCCAAACTTATGTTAGAAATTAGTACCCGCCTCTGTACTGTAGATTTGTAGACTGCTTTGACCCAAGGTCTATGAGACTGACACATGTGCCCACTTTACTGCCTCTCAGATAACCTTGTTCACACTCCATGGGTCAGAGTTAGGATATGAAGCGCCTTTAAGAGAGCTCCGAAACGTGTCAGATGGCATATGCTAGTTCCACCAAGACAGCAGGTCTCTGCCATCCACCCACCCTGCTTTCTGGCCTTGGTTGAGGCTGAAAGCCATGACTTCGGTTTCCTCTCTGGGCAGTGCTGGACAATGATGAGGACATCAAGCAGCTGAACCAGGAAATCCGTGACCTGAATGAGTCTAACTCAGAGATGGAGGCCGCCATGGTGCAGCTTCAGTCCCAGGTGAGTGGCGGTGCCAGCTGTCCTCATCCCCAGCTGTTCCCCATCCCTGGTGCCCCAGTGTTGAGGATTGACCTCCTTGCTCAAACATTCCATCTGGGGACAGTGTGGTGTCACTCCGCTCTGAGTGCAGCGTCTGGAGACTGAGTCCTCCGCCTTCCCTTCGGTGAGGGAATAGTTAAGCCCCTGATTTAGGTAACTGTTGGGGGCCATTCTGACAAGCCCTGAGCCCTGTGCAGAAGGCACACTGGATGCTCATCTGTCGCTGCATCTCTCCCAAGCTAGGAGTCATGTCAGCCTGCTGCCCCATGGTCTTATCTAGGTCAGTGGCTCCTGTTAGAGTCATTAGTCCTTGTCAGTGGGGCAGCACCACAGTCTGGTTTAGAGCTTTGCTTAAGCTGGGTTCCATCTCAGCACTGCCGCACTTCTGCTGAGTAAACTGATAAAGTGCTTAACCGATTGGCTCTTGATTTCCTTTGTGGAAGAAGGAGACACCAATAGGAATTTACTCCATACCACATTTGTAAGGTGAATGCATTAAGCGATAGCACAGCGGTAGGGTGTTTGCCTTGCGCACAGCCAGCCCAGCTGAGTCGGTTCCATTCCTCCGCCCCTCTCGGAGAGCCCGGCAAGCTATTGAGAGTATTTCGCCCGTGGCAATGCCAAACACAATAATAACAAGTCTCAAAATGGAGATGTTATTGGGCCTGCTCGAGCAAATAGATGAACAATGGGAGGACAGTGTTTAATTGAATCACTATGAGATACACAGTTACAAAGTTGTTCACTATTGGGTTTCAGTCATACAATGTTACAGCACACTTCCCTTCAGCAGTACACATTTCCCACCACCAATGTCCCCAGTTTCTCTCCCCACAACCCCTGCAGCCACCCTCAGCCTGCCTCTATGGCAAGCACCTTTCTTCTCTCTCCTCTCTCACTTTCTCTCTCTCTCTCTCTTTTCATCTCTCTCTCTGTCTTCTCTCCTCTCTCTCTCTTTCCTTTTGAGGCGAAAGCATTTCTGAGGAAAGCAGCATAAAATCTAATCCAGAAAGAGCAGAAAGAGTTCTGTTGCTGAATAATAGGATACAGATAAATTTGCCTGTATGATTCTATCCCTCTCCAAAATAAACATTTGGATTTGGGAAAAAGAAGGGTACATGTCTTATTTTGAAAGTAGCATGTGCCCTGCCCTTGGATGCTGAATGAGGCCAGGACGAGCTAGGGCACAGTAGGAGCTGTACATGTATTTCCATTTCCCAGGGCCTGAGGGACAGAGGGCACAGAGGGACCAGCCCTGCAGAAGTGCAGGCAGGTACTATAGGAGAATAGGTCTTTCTCAGATGCTGCCATGTACAGTGACAGTACCACTCTTTCTGTAAAGTTCATCCTCCTTCCTTTCATGAAAAGGGAATCAGGCATATATCCTGTCTCTTCCCCTTCTCTTATTGTGGCATGGCTAATGCCCACAATTACCCGTGGTGGTTTGTGGGGGTCTTATTCTTTAGCTGCAGTGCTTGTGGAGGGGGTCCCTGTGCTCACACGTGTGCCCCACCCCCAGGGGCTGCACTTTCTGACCACACAGCTCCTTTTATTTACTTCCCCCTCATAATCTTTGGTTTTATTAAAAAATAAGTAAGTAGCTCCAGTTCTGGCTATTTTGTTTAAATCCCTCCTTTTATTTATTTATTTTATTTATTTATTTATTTTTTTTCCCTTTATTTTATTTTATTTTTTTTAAAGTTGTAGATTTACAATTTTTTGTGCTTTGGTTTCAATTATACAATGATCAGATACCCATCCCTCCACCAGTGCCCATTTTCCACCACCATGGATAATATCCTTCCCACCCCCATCCCCCCATCCCCCCTGTCTCTGTGGCAGGGCAATCCCCTGTGTTCTCTCTTTCCTTTTGGGTGTTGTGGTCTGCAAAAGAGGCATTGAGTGGCAAACATGTTCGGTCCATAGTCTACTTTCGACATGCATCTCCCCTCCTGGGAGGATCCTCCAAACATACTTTATTTGGTGCTCCCTTCTCTATCTGAACTGCCCTTTCCTCTAGGATACCTGGCTGGCCTCTAAGTTATGGAGTAATCCTCCTGGTGCTGATCTCAGCTATTCTTGGGTATTAATCTCATATTTTGTTACTTTATATCCCCCAGATGAATGCAATCTTTCTATGTCTATCCCTCTCTTTCTGACTCATTTCGCTTAGCATGATACTTTCCATATTGTACCACTTGTATGTAAATTTCATGACTTCATCTTTTCTAAGAGCTACATAGTACTCCATTGTGTAGATGTACCAAAGTTTCTTTAACCAGTCATCTGTTCTTGGGCATTCAGGTTTCTTCCAGTTTCTGGCTATTGTAAAGAGTGCTGCAATGAACAAACAAGTGCAGATGTCACTTCGACTATACATTTTTGCCTCTCTGGGATATATTCCCAGGAGTGGTATTGCTGGGTCAAATGGGAGCTCAATTTCTAATTTTTTGAGAATCGTCCATACTGTTTTCCAGAAGGGCTGAACCAGTGGACATTCCCACCAACAGTGAAGGAGTGTCCCTTTCTCGCCACATCCACGCCAGCATCGGTTGCTTTTGTTCTTTTGAATGTGGGCCAGTCTCTGAGGTGTGAGATGGTATCTCATTGTGGTTTTGATCTGCATCTCCCTGATGATTAATGATGTAGAGCATTTTCTCATGTGCTTTTTTGCCATTCGGTAAATCCCTCCTTTTAAACACAGATTATTCAGGAGAAACTGGGGGTGGTGGTGGTGGTGTTGAATTAGGAGGGTACAGGCAAAAAGAAGGACATTCCCTAACTCCTACTCAGAACTTTTATTTTTTGTGTTGGTGTTTGGTTTGGGCCACACCCAGCAGTGGTCAGGGCTTATTCCTGGCTCTGTGCTCAGGGAGCACTCCTTGTAGGGTTCAGGACCATATGGGGTGCCGGGGTGTGAAGCTGGCATGTGCTGCAGTGCAGGGCAGGCACCTTATCCACTGTACTATCTCTCTGCCCCCTATTCAGAGCATTCAAAGCTGAAGGTGGTGAGAGCCTGTACAGTCGTGGTGGGAGATGCCCTCCACCCTGAAGCCTGCCTCCTCCAGGCCAAGCCCTAGGCTAGATCTCACTGCTCCCAAGCTGGATGTAGACCTTTGGTCCTGAGGCATCACCTGGTGGTTGAGCTGTCTAGAAGCCATGACCACCCATGGCCTTCTGTTCTACATTACTATCCTCTGGGATTCTACAGGGAACCCTGAATGCCCCTTTGGGAGAAGCTTCTGGACTTTGTGCTGGATTTCTCCTCCTCTGGTTCCAGCAAAGGAGAGGGTTTGGGTGAGATGCCTAGGGCTGCTCAGGGCACTTCCTGTAACTGCTGTAAACAAGGGACTGGGAGCAGGCACAGTTAGTTCATGTCTGTTGATGCACTGGGGTTGTGGCCAGGGTGCCTGAGACTTTCCCCAACCCCTATAGGACATATAGCCCCTGGCTCCCTGTCCCTCCAGCATCCATAGACCAGGGTACTCCCATCCCTCATTTGTGGCAGGGTCAAGGAGCAAGATGTCTACCTTTTCTCCTTCCAGAGAGACATGATATGTTTCTACTAAGTGTGCTGGTGCCTCCAGGAGGAGGAGGAGAAAGAAGAAGAGGAGAGGAGAAGAGGAGGAGGAGGAGGAGGAGGGAGGAGGAGGGAGGAGCCAGGGGGCATTCATGTCTCTTATGCAGATCTCGTCCATGGAGAAGAGCCTGAAGAACATTGAGGAGGAGAATAAGCTCATTGAGGAGCAGAACGAAGCCCTGTTCCTGGAGCTGTCAGGCCTGAGCCAGGCCCTCATCCAAAGTCTTGCCAATATCCGCCTTCCACACATGGTAGGGACCACACATTCCTGCAGGCTGCACGGAGGTGGCAGTGGGGACCGGGGTGGGGCACACCCTCTGCTTTGGGATCCTGCTGAAGGGGCCTTTGTGGATGGTGGCCATTCTTTGGCCTACCCAGGGGCTCTTCCAGGGGCAGGCTGTGGCCACAGCAGCTTGAGCCTAGGGACCCACGGCTAGGCCTTTGGGTGGGGCAGCCAGCATAGAGGGCATGAAAATCCTGGGCCATGTGGGAGATGGATCCGTTGTCTCCCCTGCACCCCATGACCGACTTCCATTGCTGCTGAGGAACCTGGGCTTCCTGCATGGGTATGGTTGGCTGAACTGGCTCTATTCTGCAGGAGCCGATCTGTGAACAGAACTTCGACGACTATGTGAGCACTCTCACCGACATGTACTCCAACCAGGAATGCTACCTGAACCCTGAGAACAAGGACCTCCTGGAGAGTATCAAGCAGGCTGTGAGAGGAATCCAGGTGTAGGCTTTGCTGTTCTAGGAGCTGCCTTGCCAATGTGGGGTGCCCACACCACTCCAAGTTCCTAGCTCCATCGTTACCTCCCTTGCCCTGCCCGCCCTGCGGAGACCCCCAACTCACAGTGACCTCCAGTTGGCAGCCTGGGTGCCCTCAGGGGGCTTATCCAAAGGGGGCCTGAAGCTCAGTGTCTCCCTAGATGTGCTTGCCAGGCGGTGGCCTCTATGACCCCCATGCAAATGGGGGGGGACAAAGTATTACAAAGTGATTTATTTTTGTTTTTTGAAAGAAATCTGAGGAGCAGCTCAAAGTCTCCAGTGGAAGCTCATGGACAAGGTTCTCAGGGAAGTTCTGGAGTCTGCAGCCACAGTGTTTGTCTGTCAGGGCGGGAGGGCAGTGTGTGCCCGTCGCTGTGGGTGCGTGTGATGATGTGGGCTGGGGTGCGCCCCGGGGCTGGGCATCGTTCTCAAGGCCCGTGTGGCAAGTGTGTTTTCTGTTTTCATTTCACTCCGTTCTGTGTTCAGGATGGAACAAGGCTCAGTTCCAGAGGGCCAGTTAGGAATAGGTTGGCAGGCCAAGGGTCGACTAGTGTGCCCCTCTGGCCAGCCCCTCTGGTCCCTCTTTCAAGCACCCAAGTCCAAGGGTGACGTGAGGAGCCCCAATGCCCCACAGGTACAGGCTAGGCCACTCTCCACTTCTCACCAGAGGGGGTCAGGGTCCAGCTCTCCATGTGCTCCCAGGACCCTGACTGTCACCACCTACCACATTCCTGGTCACAGCTGAGCTGGACCAAGTGGAACAGGCCAGCAAGGTCAGGGGTCACATCCCTCATGGAAGACCACTGGTTGTCCTTCTCTTTAGTCATTCAAAATGTGAAAAAAGGTAAATTTCAATTCAATGTGTTAAAAACACTATGTCCTAATGTGTAAATAGAGTCCAAATTGATTGTGACTGCAATTCCAAGTTAGTATTTAAAAGTAGAGAAATCGCACTTCCTGGAAGAAAATTTTAAAAGTAGTTAGTTTAATTATTCTGTAAATTATTTAATTTTGTCAAGATGTAAGTATTTATATTCACAACCTCTTATGTTAATGTTTGCTATTTATTTAACATTTTTATTTATTAATTTTATACTGTTTTAACTAGACCCACACACCAGGGCACCATGAGAAGGAAATAAATTACATCAAGCAAAATTAACTCTACTATGATAGGTCACAAAAAAATTCTTGCTATAACTTCTAGTTATAATTTTGATGGAACCAAGTTATTTTCATATATTTTGTTATTTATTCTTTTAATAATGGTATTTTTTAAAAAGTATTTTGTAACTGAAGAATTTTGATAATTTGAGGATGTTTTTCCCCTCGTTCCAATGGAAAGATCAATTCTTTGGTTTCTTTTGTCCCTTTCGGTTCCTTTGGTTTCAGGCACGGACAACAGCAGATGGAGTTGTGTGTTCTTTCTTTGTGTGTAGGCAGATGTGTGTGCCCTGCGTGTTCTTGTGTCGCGTCTGTGTGCCAGTTCTCGATGGCTGAGTCATGTTGCTGTGAGGGAAGCTGGTTGCCACCAGCCCCACCCTGTCCCTCCTCCGACAGCTCCAGTACTGTGATCCTCCTTCCTCAGGAAACCCGTGCAGCCCAGACAGCTCTTCTCGGTGTGTCGCAGGGTGATTTCCTAATAAAAGTCGCGTGACTGTGAGCAGAGCGTGTCTGTCTGTCCTGAGCTCTGGTCACTGTCGTGGGCACAGCCATGGTTCACTCTCCTGGTCTCCCTGGCCTCAGAGAACCAGACTCCCCACCCTCCATGTATGGTTCCAGAGTTGTAGTTGTATGCACCCTGAATTATCAGCATAGCTTGTATCTGCTCCTGCCACCAGCACCAAGCACATGCAGATTCATTTTTTTCTGGGGAATCAGCTGGGTCAGGCAGGACTGTGGGCTTCTCAGATTATCACTCTTGGTCACAGCAGGATGAGTCCAGGAGGGAGGCAGCGCTCAGAGAGAGACAAAGGCAAGGCCAAGAGATGAAGAGAAAGAGCTGAGACAGGAGGAAGACAGAGGCGAGGGGAAGGATGGAGGTGAGAGATGGGGAAGACAGTGTGGAGAGAAAGCAGAGGTCTCTGCTGAATTTTCTGTTCTCCTGGCCCAGCATTAAGGCAGTCTGCCCTTGTATCTCTGCAAGGCAATGAAATATTTTGGTTTTGTTTCCGTTTGTGTGCCTGGCTCTTTGACCTTGAGGTGGCACCCTTCATTTCACCCTTGTGCTACTTGAGGGTTACCTTGCCCAAGTGAGGCTTGGAATTTGGGGGTTGTAGTTGTATTCACCCTGAATTATCAGCTTAGCTGTCTCTCCCTTTGAACTTTCTCTGGGAGCCATTCTGGTGCTTCCATCTGAGCAAAGGTAAATTCTTGGTGGTTCATCCCCTGTCCAAGATAGGGTCCAGGAGCATTTGATGCATTGAAGGTATCCAACTGCCGGCTTGGGGGACTGTAGCAGTCTGCAACAGATGCGTGGGTCCTGCAGATGCCCTACTGCCTGGAGAAAAAACTCTAAAGGTCTTTTTTGATAAGGACCCACATGGGTCAGCTGGAGCAGTGGTTAGGAGCCTATGTATATTCAGATGATAGGGGGTGGGCAAGACTGATTTTTGTTGTGTGTGTGTGGGGGGGGGCACGCCTGGTTGCACTCTTGGACAATTCTTGGTTACTCTCAGTACTGCTTGGGGAACCTTGTAGTGTCAAGGATTGAACCCAGGCCGGACCTCCAGCACGCAAAGCCCATGCTCCAGACTGCTGAGCTATCTCTTGAGTACACAAAAGTGATTTTTAAGTGTCTCCTCTGCCAGCTGATGTGACAGCACTCTTGAGTCACAGAGAGCTGATGGTGCACAAATACTGAAACTGTGGCAGAGACACTCAGGAGTGAGAACCAGGTCACGTCATGCAAAATATCACTGTGATTTCTTTCCCTTTCTCTTTGCTCAAATTCTTCCTGACTCTGGAACGTTGCATCTTAGGCTATCAGTTAAACCAGTGCCTGTTCCTGAGGCTGTAGGCATGGTAGACCTTATTTTCAAGGCCTCCAGATAATTCCCAAGAGGAGCAATGCTGAGAAGCTCCATGTTCCCTAAATATGGCCTTCAGTTGGGTTCCATCATTAGTCAATCATTCAGTCATCTGCCTGTGGGGTCTCTGGGATCCTGGTTGGTCTAAAGACCCACGACAATGTGGATGGGAGGGTATAGATGTCAGCATCAAGCTGTATGCCTGGGTGGGGGGAGGGGGACCTGGGCTTTGGCGGGGTCTGTGGGGAACAGAGGAGCTCCTCCCTGAGCTGCACCAGGGTCGTGACCTCTGTTCACAGAGGCCAGGTGGAAACAGAGGTGAGAGCAGCCCGGGCCACAGATGATTTCCAAACTGAGTTCTGGCCTGGATCTACAGAGCCTCTAGCTCAGGATGGTGGCTTTGTCTGGCACTGCTTGGGCTTCCCCGCACCCCATTGTCCCAACAGGGCACCCCTGAGCGTAAGTGTTTCTCCCTTTGGGGCTTCAGAAGGTGTTTTAGGAAGGCAATGTTTGGGCTGTAGCCAGTGCAGCAGAGGGGAAGGGGATTCCTAGTGAGGCACAGCACAGACACAGAGAGCTGTGGGCAGAGGCCCTTCAGCACCAAAATTGCTGCTTCAGACCTCAAAGAGCTGTGGGTTATCTAGACTCTCGCTCAATTCCAAGTCCTCAGGGATTCATATATTTAGGGTCCCTGGCAGAAGTGTATTCAGCCTCCATCAACCATGATTACCTAGACTTCTGAGGGTCTGTCTGCTGTGGGCTCAACACACTAGGCCACCAGTGTACATCTTGGGCTTTGCAGCACCACCATGAGAGAACTGTGGGTTTGAGAGAGGCAGCCCAAATTTTGAGAAGACATGGCATGCTACCATTATCATGATGTGAGAAGATTGTCTTATCCCACAGTTTGATGATGACATGAGTCATTCACCCTGAGATTCTGATGCCTCCTGTTCAAAGGGTTTGGGAGGAAGCTGGAGTTAGGCATGCTCTTGCAGAAGCCCTTGCAGTCAAGCCGTGCTTCACTCTCCTGAGGAAAAAGGCCCTCTCCAAAGGGAGGGTCTCAGAGCTCGCACATTGTTCTGCGTGTATTTCACTCTCTGAACCTTTTTTCACTAGTCACCCCATTGTTCCCTACACCCTTCCATGTCAGGGCCTGACTTTGTAGTTCCCGCCTTCCAGGGTGTGGACCCCTTGTTTTTGAGCTCAGTAACATAAGAGAGGATGCTGACTGAGTTAAGATGTAAGTCTGCTTTGCACAGAGTAGTCAGACCCAGTTGGCACTGAGGAGCAAGAAGAGGAGGGCCGGTCATGGTCTGTAGCCAGAGGGAAGGCAGGAAGCGTCTGCTCATCAGCCTGAGGATACAAGAACTGCATGGCTGCTCCAGGCATGTCAGCCATCTGGGTTCCCAGTCAGGATGCCAGGGCAGAGTAAGAGGAATCGTTGCTTCCCACCCAGGGTGCTCTGACCATGACCCAAGGCAGAAGGGGGACTGACTAGCAAAGGCTCTCGAGGGGCAGGAGTGCCAGTGCTGCATCTTGCTTGGGTGAGCAGGGTGCCACTGTTATGCCAGAGAGGGGAGAGTATGATGGCACTGAATCAAGCCTAGATTAGCAAAGAGGTAGGGCCTTGGGTTGTCGGTGAAGCTCTAGCAAGTGCCATGTTGGAGTTTATGAGGGAACCTGCTCTCTGACTCTCTCCTGGGCCAGCTGACTTGACTCAGCAGGAGGCTCAAGCAGAGACAACAGCAAGTTTCAGAGGAGAAACCTGTGGATGTGTGGATGGCCTACACATCCATCCCCCTGATGGGCATGTGGAGTTTCTAGCTGTCACTCTCCCGGGAGCAGGTGTGACGGGGACCCAGACAGGGAGATGGTTTCTCCATAAACACAGGGGGTGGCACCCCAGTTGGGCTCCTTCCAACATGAAAGCCAACACAAAGGGCATCATCTTGGGGGCCTAAGGCGTCCCCAGGGTACCAGGGGCTACTGGCCAGAGTGCCCCTCCTGATCACAATGCTCTGTCAGTGTCTGTGCTCCTTGTGCGATGTCCCTGCAGGACCCTTGCTGCCTGCATCAACTGCACTGGGTTTCCTGTTGCCCTCCTGTTCACCCAGCACACCAAGCACTGATGCAGAATGCCAAGGCCTGGGCCTCCAGGGAGGGGGCCTCATTCACTGGATTCTTGACGCTGAGATGGACGGGGTGTTATTAGGACTCTGCTACCTGGAGTGGGGCGGAGTGCTCACAGGCCTCCTCCCTTGGAGGAGCTTACTCGCGCATATGTGGCTATGTGTCCTTCTCAGAGAAGGCCACTTAATGGGCAGCATCTGTGGCTATGACTGGACTCAACCATGTGAGGGCAGGGGTCTCTAACACCCACAAATGGCGGCTGCTTCTGACAATGAGACAGGTTGTACAGAGCAGCAGTCTTCCCTGCTGAGTCTCTGGCGTGGGGGGAATGAAAATTGTTGGGCACTGCCTGGGAAGTGGCCCTGTAAGGGCTTCTGCAAAAAAAAAAAAGTGGCTCCTGAGAATATTTTGGACATGGAGCACTTTTGACCAGGCAGCCTGCAGAGGAGTCATAGGGGTTGTAAAGTGCCCAGACCTGCTGACAGGTCCCTCAGCCTAACCTCCTCAACAGGCAACTCCACTGTGACCTTAAAAACAAACTTCCTTCTTCCAGCCTCTTCCTTTGCAGGGTGCTCAGCTCCAAAGAAATGAACAGTGACTACTTGTCTGTCAGTGGCATCGAATCCCAGCACAGGGGTGACTCAAAGAGAAAGTGTCTCCTTCACCATGAGCAGCACAGAGAGCAGTGTCTGTGATTTGACTCAAAGCTCAGGACCTTACAGGGCACTGTGGGAGAAGCCAGACCTTGGAAGTACTTGTGGGTACCCTCCCACAACTGAGAGGTTGGCAGAGCCACCTGCCACCCTGGCCTGGGGGGGCATTTTGAATGCGGCCTGAAAGGTGCCTTCTCCTGGGTTGGCTCTGGGGCCTCCTACCAAGTCTCCAGGCTGGTGCCTACAGGCAGTTCTTCTGATGTAGACATTACCTGTCAGAGGAGAAAGAAACCACACCAGTACTTTCCCTGGAGCCACCCCCACCCTGCAACACTTCTGACGGCTCCAACTCACTGCACCCTCCCCAGAGGGCCTCTCTTCAGGAGGCTGACAGGGGTGGGGGCAGGGAAACCTGTCCCAGGTAATGGAGGGCTGCCTGCAGGTCTGGAGTCACCATGGAGACAGACACCCCTTTCCCTAGCACATCCTGTGCCTGCAGTGTTGAGAGCACTTACAACTATGGGATTATGTGTGCCTGTATAGAAGAGGGCTGCTTCTCCTGTTTCTAGACCTGCCTCCATTCTTTGACATTAATTCAATGGTTTCAGGACTGATGCTGAATTGGTGACGGCAGATGTCATTACTTAAGATTAGTAAACATTGTAATACACATCATCTTTGCAGCTAATTTACATGCTAAACTTCTGATCAGTTCACAACAGCAAGGGCAGAACAAAATTATTTCAGTAAAAACCAATATGTTGGTAGAAATGTTGTCTGGCTCAACCTCTGTGGAAAACGGTATGGAGAGTTCTCAATAAACTGAGAGCTGAGCTGCCCTAGACACATCC